AAAAAAACAGGCTAGACGGGGATTTTAATCAAATTTTGCACGTCTCATGTGAAAACAAGGTCGCGTAAAATACAGAATATTTACCTTCCTAAACACTCTAAGACAAAAAGTTAACAGTACATAGTAGCGTGCATTTCAATAGAGGAGATTACTACAAGTTGTTAAATCTGAAGCTATAAAAGGATTTCCTGTAGTTTTTTTCCCTCCTGGATACAGAAGCAGGTTTCAGGATTTCCTCTACACACACACACAACTGCTAGACTACTTATTCTTTCCAGAGTCTAGGCACCCCAGTCCACAGAAGCACAGCACACTGATGTGTTTCTGTACATGTCACAAATGAAGTCCTGACAAATAATTCTTAAGAAATTGAGACCCTAAGGAAATCGAATAATTCCTCCGGGAGTGATACAATATCATATGACAAGGCTTTTATGTGACTGAACGACCGGGCATGTGGGACTCTTTAGAAGTCGATCATATTTACTTAACTATCAGACAAGGAGCGCATTGCTATTTGCGTGCAAAAAAAATGGAGCAGGCACAGTAACAATCTACAGTATGGAAATTAGGCAGCTACAGATTTTTCTGTAAACATATACCCTCTTACTTATATAGTGAAGCACTGTGAAAACACTTGAGGAAATATATATAGTCTACTGTCAATATTTCAGGTCTTTCAAGTGGTTTGAAGTGATTTCAAAATGTATCGACGGCAGACTTCCTGTAGACTGCTGAACCAGCACAGATCTATGAAGAACCGATGCTGAAACAGTGTCTTGTGATGAGCACATGACTAAGTTCGGCTATATAGTTAACGTCACCTGACCACACGCTATTTGTCCGCAAGTTACAAATGCAATTCTCTTTTGCAAACGATAGTGATAAATAGACGATTTGTGCCTCAACGTGGGAGCATGTTGGAAAAAAAATAACCACATATTCAAAACTACCTTCGTGTCAGTGATTTGCAGGCGACAGTGATTTCAGGCGTTTCCTTCAGGAAATGCACAACTAAAAACGATGCTGACCACATTGGGTAGTTTTTCAGGAAAGTTGAATACACACCCTGTGCAGGACCTATTTCGTCAAGTTGCAAGCTCGGATGTTATTTTGCGAACAGCAGCACAGCCAGAAGCTGTTTAATAGTTTTGTACTTCCACACAGTGAAGGCAAAACGGAAATATATTGTATGCAAAAGTAATCAGCGCAGCTTTTGTTTATGCAGTAGTAAATAGAATACTAGAGGAAATCCTGTTAATGTCAGCAGTTACTAATGAGCTGCGCAAACAATTTACCGTCATACTTTCCCTCAAAAGTAAAAAATCTACCAAAATTTCCATAATTCCATTTAGAAATAGTTACAGCAGGCATACAGATCACCTTCCGGAGTCTCAGTGATTTAATTACGCAACTCTCCGACAAATTAAAATGTAATTTAAAAAGTTTGCTGTAACAATGCGTCTTCTCTTTCTGATTAGTCAAATCTCCACGGAGTTCATGCACTTGAAGTTTCATTTCAGTGAAGCACATACAGTACATTGCAATGATAATGCATACATTTCAACAGAGATATGTTATTTGTAACCAACAGAAAACTAACAAAATGGAGCAATAAAACTGCAAATATTTAAAGGTAGATTGTCATTTCCAAAATGAGCAAAACCGGTATAATCAAGTAATTAGTCTTCAAGTAATTAATCTTTTAAGCACAGGTTTATGTTGCTGTTTGCTTTAATAAGTTAACAAAATCTAATTAAAAATGACAGTTTTCTGATTATTTTTTAACATTTAAATTAATGAAATGAGGCTGCACAAAAACAGTTGAAGACAGGTCACCCACTTTAGCGAAAAGCAATCCAGATAACTAATGCAATACTTGTACAGCTACATTAAAACATTTTATATTAGACTAAATTACACACACACACACACACAAAAAACAGTTTTAACTTCATAAACACACAAGTCAGGTTGGCCATATACAGTTCATGGTCACCGAGAGTGACGGAATACTGTACTTACCTTCTGTTCAAAATAGTAGGTTTTATAATTAATTAGGTTTGTCCGTGTTTCAGGATTTGAGACAACCCCTCTTCTGGATAAAAGCGGTGATTTAAAAGCAGAAATTACGTGAAAACAAATTAGACCTACAGCAAGGAAACTAGTGACATTAAGTCTTATGACTGCGCTAAAATGAGATGCCATGATCCATAGAAAAACCGGAGTGAAGCGTAGAAGCAGAGGGACCTAATCACAGCGCAAAAGACTTCCTGGTTTATCAGTAGAAGACGACAGAGACAGCTAGAGTTTAAAAAGAGGAAGGAAAAGAAACTCGGCATCACTAACGAGATGTAGTTAACCTTAGTAAAGTGGGGGGGTGGGGGACTTAAATCAGTACGAGTAATATAGAAATTCTGGGAATTCGGAGACAATTAGCTATGTGTTCACTTTGTTCATTATTCCTCAATTCAGAGTTTCTCTGTATAACGTTAAAGTTATTTTTTACACAAAAGAAATGCTAAAAAAATATCTGTCCAAGTAGTATGTTAAACCGCTAACGATACACTGAATAAAGAATTATATAGCAGACATTAAAAATAATATGAAAGCATGTCAACTCAGTAGTGCATCAATTCCAAATACTAAACTTGCGTCATTACACGGTCACAACAGATATCGCCTTCAACGAGCATTTTACGTCTGTCGAAAAGTACTGTTGCTAAAGTGACCGCCTAGTTGCCAAGGTTACACTTCGCCCCCTTTTTTTCGCTAGATCGAATTATGATTGGTTCTACCACCTATCGTAATTTGGTTTGTCTAGTATTCATTGAGACGTTCTGATTGGTTGTTACAGTGTTTATTGGGGGGAAATTTGAAAAAAAACGCTAACAAATCTTTTTGGTGGTTTTGTAATAGACATGGGATTATGCGTTTCACTACAGACGTCACTTAATTTTCACCCATTTTACACATGTTCTTTTCTTTTAAATGTGATATTTCTCTTTCAAGACCACATGCCTCCGAGAAGGGTCTTGATCAGTGGTTCCGTGTTGTCTCTCCAAGATCCTTGTGTTTTGTATCCGTGTTGTCAGAACTGCGTGTCCAGGTTGTTCATAAATAAGTCTGGGTAAGAATGGAAATAATGATGAGATTGTGTCAAATGAAAAATAATGTTACGATGGCAAATCATTGTTTTTATCTTGATTCCACAGATGTATTTGCAAGAAGTGTGGTTTCATCTGTGGAGTGGACGATGTCAAGTATAGGTACAGGCTATCTTTCGGTGTCGCAAGAAACAGTGATATATTTGGAGTAGCAGTATTCGGCAGCTGTCTGGATCCTTACTTTGGTGTTTCTGCTGGATTTCTTCATAGGTACAATTTTTACCCATTGTCTTTTTAATTAACAATACAGTACTGACGTCTTTGTTATCTAAGACATATGCTAGAATATTGGTGCCTTTATTCATTATTTACTGAATGTAAATAATTACTAAATTAATGGGATTTTGCTTGCTTTCCTAATTCTTAAACCAAACCGTACAGCTTATTCAAGGTACAGTTGTTAGGATGCTTAAACATTAACTAACATATGCATCATAATACACTTGTGTTTACACTTTTAAGTTTTGGCACCCATTGAAATTAAGAAATGTATTTAAGTATAAGCTCTCTGCCTACAAGATCCTTAAGGGTCTAGTCCTTCATATCTTTAATAATTAGCAATTCTAATGTGTCTGGTTACCCTAATTTACAAACAAATGTAAATCTCTCCCTGTTTTTTGAAATTATGCATTTAATATGACCTAGCGTTAGATCAGAACTTCATTCCGTTCCATATTAGGAGCTTCAATACAAATTTTAAAAAGTGGCATGTTTTATTTTTATTTATAGTTGGATACATATTAGACACAAACTCTATTTTATGTTACTGTTGCGTTTGAAGTGATACTTGTAGTAGAGGTGTTTGCATTAAGAATAAATTGTATGTATGATGTACATACTGTGAAATCAGATATGTATGCATAAAAGGATTTTAAACCATGTTTACCTTTTCTGTTTTCATAGATTTATGGAGGATTTAAAGAAGGATGCTGGTGATATGGTGCACACACTCTTAATCCAGGCAGTGAAAGATTGCTTTGTTGGAAGACATTTCATATTTGGAATTAAGGTAGCTTTAAAACATTGAAATATCTGACTGGACATTTGATTGAAAACGAGAATATTACACTAAAATATCGAGAAACTATTTTCAGAAATTCAAGAATAGCTTTTGAAATATAGTAATTGCATTCCCATTCCCATTTAAAGTAAAAGGCTGACTAAAAAATGTTTAGTGAATGGCTGATTTGTTAAAACATCAGCAGGACCAACATTAAAAGAAGGGACCGCACTGCACTTTAAGTCAGTCTTCTAGTATACTAGCATGTAAATTTCCATTAATTTGTTTTTGAGGGTTACTTTTAAGATAATAATATGTACCTATAGATGTATTTTAAGCATGTTTCTGATGAGCATGATCTTTATTTTAACAGTTGTCCAGTGTCCAATCCAGAAAACACTCCTCATTTGGTGAAGGCCTGGTTCAGACCTCATGCAGCCAGTACTCTGGTCAGTTTGTTGCCTGCCAGATTGCTTTGCCTAATGCAGCTATTGTTGGTTGCACCGTGATAACCTACTTGAAGAAACTGCTACAAGCAGTTCATGTTACAAACTTTCCCAATGTGTCACAGCAACCTGGGGGCCCTACAGCTGTGGAGCAAGATGTCACTGTGGAGTTAAACAGCTTGGAATGTTCATTGGCACACAGTGGGCAATCATGTACACAATGGAGCAGTGGAGGAAATGCCATAGGACCTTGGCAGCAATCTCCTGGAATAATCACTTCATCCGCAGAAGAACTCAGCCAAGACTCAAGCGGCCGTTCAGAATGGGGCAGGAGGTCTCTAGAATCCCACAAATACCAGTGCATTTCAAAGTCTTCCAATGGTGCATCCCTTCAGCATGTGTCTTCACATTGTTTTACCCCATACAAAGGTGAGAGAAGTGGAGCTGAGAGTATGACGAGAGAAGAAACTTCTTTAGAAAGGTATCAATGTAACTCTGCCTTGTATGAGTCGAGAGAAAGGATAAACGCTGAGAAAGCCTTTGGAAGTGACTTTCAGAGTAGAGTGTCATCTCTGTCAGACACTCCCAGGTCATTACTAAGTATGTTGCCGGTGTTGTACCCTCAGGAAAGCCGGTTAAATGTGCAGGATGAATGTACAGACCCTTGTCTGAATGAAACGTGGAGAGCTGCATTTTCTGAAAGAAATGACGGTGTATCTTTTTTGCAAGGGGAATCATCTTTGACTAAAGAAAACAACTATAATTCTTTAGCATGGAAAGAACTTCCATTCTCAGAAAGTCTAAGTGAGTTCATTGGTAAAGTAGAAAGAGAACCTGGTGAGACAGCGTTGAATGCTGTTCAAGAGGCTATAAATAACAGTCAAAAGTCACAGAAGGCCTCTTCTGCTGAGATGCACAAGTCTATAAATTTGCATGGAGCAGATAACGTCAACATTCCAGAATCTTCTCCAAACTTCAAGATTCCTACCCAAGAATCTACATCCGATCTGACTACAACAGAATTCACAGCGGGAGTGTATGGGGGCCATTCATCCATTTCTTTCCGGAATCCTCCTGAGGTGTACAATAAAGAGAACTGCAATTTATATGCAAATGTAATGGACAGGAAAGAAAATGAAGCGTTAAAAGGGCTTGTGCATTATGCCAGAGGAGAATCGGAATCCGCTCTTAATATGCGGATCTCCTGTGACTCAGGAGTCGGTGAAAAGAAAGAGACTAGTGTGCCGTTTTGTAAAATGGGTTCCAGAATACCAAGGTCTGTAATTATGTGGGAGTCCTGTGAACAGAACAATATTCCACAGTGGGAAGGGTGTTCAGATGCTAATTCTGAATCAGTTTCAAGAAAGTGTCAGGCAAAATGCACTCAGGATAATTCCATAGATTTGAACAGTCTTGATGTTGTAATTAAAGAGAAAAACAAATTGAATCGCAGCACTGATTGCACCAAAGAAGATGAACTTGGAATTTATGTTACCAGTGTCCGTAATTGGGACAGTGCAAAAAAAGAACACCCAATGCAAAACAATTATAGAAACACTGAAGATGTTTACAATGCATCTGCTGATCTGTTTAGCTGCAGTCACAATAGCATCAATACAGAGGAGGGGGTGAGCACGCCATTGAACATTATGCCGCTGCAGTCATCTCTTTGTGTTAAAGAACATGCTCATGTGATGGATCATGGTGTTCCACGGGCGTCGGAGTGCCCTTCTTTTCAGGATCCGAAGGGAATGCTCACTAGTGGATTTCACAATACAGATTCAGAATTTTCAGTGTCTCAAGATTTTGTACCCTCTTCCCAGTCAACTCCTATTTCAAGGCAGCTAGCCTCTTTACAGCAAATCCCAAAGATATTTCATATTTGTGAACCCAACCACCTTAGTCATTATGAAACCAGAAGTAACTTACTGACTCGACACCTTCTGAAAGAGCATAGGCAAAGCAGTTTGCAAACTGATTTTGGAATAGAGTGCAAGAGCACAAAATATTTCTCTGGAGTATGTGACAGTGATGCAGAAGAATTGATCCCTTCTTCTGTGACCAAAGTTTCATGTATGTTCAGACTTCAGAGATTGACCAGGAACTCCAGAGGACATCAATTTAAGGGAAATTATAACTGCAAGAGAAATTTGTACAACTCTGCTCATCTTAGGAAAATACCTTCAAAAGGTGAAAAACATGAAAAGGCGTTGAACAAACTCAAAACGATTAAAGAAGCTGTTAAATGTAACAAGTTAAAATCAATACAGATTTCATCGAGTCCAAGAAAAGATTGCTCTCTGACATATGGAGACTCAAATAGAGAGATAAAGGGTGCATCTAATGTGGATGGTTTTCAGATAAATATGGATACTGAAGTCAAAGACAGTTTCTCCTGTGATACAGTCAGCAATACTCTGTCTGATGGCCATGACAGTATGACTGGTAACTGGTCACAGGACCTCTTTTCTGATTCTACAGGCTCTTCCTTCTGTTGAGACCAAAATCTAAGAAATCTTAATGAAACGGCAAGAAATTGGGTTTTTTAGGGGTCTGAATTTGGATTTTGCTCCTTTATAGCACAGGGAGTAGGTGACAACCTCTTAATCCAGTCTTATTTTTTTTCCAACAGTTTATCAATGATTTGTAACTGCAAATTGTTCCTCACATGTATTACTTTTCATCCTCTTGGCTTTTATAAATTGCACACAGTGGCTATGCAGATTATAAAAGTTTTATTATTTTTATTAACGGACACAGAAGTGTTAATGCATGTGTAAGTGAAAGGTATTTCTGTAACTCACTATGGCAATTTTGCTTACCTTAGTTCAGAGGCATTCATGCAATTGTATGTATGGCAAGCCAGTGAGAGTGATTCAAGCACAGTTTTGGGAGTTATATTTTTCATTCCACCAACTTGCCTTTGATAAAATTGTTACTGGATTCACATACTCAGAGTTCAATCTATGACTGCTATTTGCCAAGATCTAATTTTAACCAAATTCTTCACTGTATTGAACTTTTACATTTGGTACAAAAAGTGTGTTATGTCCTGTTTTCTTGTTTTGAAAGAATTATACGGATACCCCTGGTATATAATTGCTTGCCAGGTGCAATAGTGCATTGTGAATCTAGGCACTAGTACAGAAACTTAACATTCAGTTACATCAACTTCAGTTAAGAACCTGGCTGGAACATTTCAGTGCTCTGAAATTAAGCATGTCCAGCTTCTCCTAGAGTTGCATATATTGTGAAAAAGCATGTATTTCATACTTCATTCATGGTATGTGCTTCAGTAAACAGCATTATTATTCGGATAGTCAAGTGAAATCTAAAAATCATTTTTGATGTATATTAATGAAATTTGTATTTCAGGTTGAAAGATTAATATGAGGCAGAAATATAGGATTTCAGCTTTTCTTTCTGGGTATTATTTTGCATACATATTTAGCTATGTTAAAATAATGTGATTTGTTGTGTTCAGTCTCCCTGTTTCAGGTGAGCATGAGTATTGGGACAAATGGCTGACAGGTGTTTCTAATTTCTTGGGTTTTGCTCCTATAGCAGTAATTGTGAAAGCATAAAAAGAACTTTTACTGTATATGTTTATATAAATATTAGAATTTGTATAGTATTTTGTATATTTTTGTCAACATAATTACTACATTAATCAGTCGTTCTATTTGAATAAACATTTGTTTTTGTATCACTGTTTGCTTCTTCTGCTGCTACTAAATATTAAAAAGGATGACAATAATCAGTATTTACAAAAAAAAGTGGCATATTGTTGTGCTTTTAGATTGTAATTGTAGAATAGAGTATCTGTCCTCAAGACCTGATTTCAAAATTTCTCAGCCCCTGCCCCACTCCACAGCAATATCTTAATGGGTTTAATTGCAACTGAAGAGTTCTAAAAGAGTTTTTGGTATTTTAGCTGCAAGTGAAGTAAATGGGTTTGAAGGTGTAAGCGTACAGGTATGTGAAACTAACCAAAGAGAAGTAACCTTAATGATTCAGTTTCGTGCAGCTTCCCTGAAGAAGGAGTTACTGTTATTTTTCCAGCTCTGTCTGTAACCTAGCCTGGAAAGAAACTGTGCCAAAGTGTTTTAGAAATGACATTCTGATGGCCCTGCTCTGGGGTTGGTCTCTTTTGCATTGTTGAAAGAAAGCCAAAACTTGGGCCAAGAAATTGTTTTAAGCTACAAGCTCTTTCTTCTGATACACAAAGCTTTGATATAATGCACTAGAAATAAAACCATCTACAGCAAGAGGCCAAGTAATATATGAAAGATCAAATATTAAAAAAGAAACACCTGAAAAGTAGAGGTTGTCATTACTGCTTATTAATGTTAACTGTTTTGCAAAGTATTGTTTTTTAAAAATTAAATCTACTGTTGGCTGCGTTATCATGTTTTTATTAAACAGTGTATATAGTTGTTAAATACAGCCCATTTTTGTATTGTGAATGAAGATTAAAAATATGTATTCTCAATTTCTCCCTTGTGTGTATGATTAGTATGTGCAGAATAAATTGCTTTTTAATAGCAATTGAAAAGATACATAAAACAAAGGGAACATATTAAGATTAAGATATTCCTATAGTAAAAAAAAATCCTTCCTTTTGTGAACTAGGTTTTAGCCAAGAATGCAATGAAAGGCCATGATTCTCATCAGATTTGTAATGGGTTATCACATTTATTCATAAACTTTGTAAGCCGTTTTCCATTTAGTAAAATTATCAGCCAATACAATTTAAAAATAAAGACAAAAATATTAACATTTTACATTCACTCTTCCACAGACAAAGTAAATTCTGGTCGTTTTATTTCCTCAGCTACATTATCTCATTTAGACAAAATAAACTGGAAATACTGAACAAAAATTACATAAGTACTGTTCACATTTTCTGTTCGGAAATACACGATTAGCATGATAGACAAATTCCTTTTTCATGAAAAGGAAAGCTTTTGTCCTTTAGATAATTTTTTATTATACACAAGACCCTTCACAGGTCTGAATAATTGAAATGGCCCTTCCTACCAATGGCTCTTTATCACCACGGTGCTAAAAAAAAGTCAAAACAGATACTAGAACTGACAATTACTTTACCCTACTGAAAAAAACAAGTAACGGCTGCATGTTATACTTTAGTAGTTTAAAACAATATGAATAAAAAGTAAAATACTGCATTATGTGGCAAAATAATTTACAAATGCCATTAAAATAAAGCTTGACATTCAACGCATATGGCACAGTTCATGCAGTGCATTTAAAAAGCTGAACATATACAATGGGATTTAGGTGCAATATAACATCCAAAACACTTTAAAAGATAAAATGAATAAAAAACCTGAAACGTAACACTGAAATCCTGCATTGTAAAAATGATGGAAAACATTCATGTCTCTCGTATAAAAATGGTCAAAACTAGACACCTCTTAGGTAAATTCTGTATGAAGTATGATGAGTTCACAAACTAAGATAGCCGAAAAAAACAATTTTGTTTAAAGTTAAGGCCCCCAGTTTTTTTCCCGGTTGTTTTCCCGGCGGGTTGGCCATTCCACCTTTAAAAAACTTGTGCGAATAATCTATATTATAATAACCAAAAATGATTTATTGATTATCAGTCAACAAATAAAGAGCTTATTTGAGAACTTGAAAGGCTTTGCGTTTAGTTTTGATTCGTTTTTATTATTACAGTTTGTGTAATAACGTGCCTCCTAGTATAACAGTTATAATTCACCTGTATATGTTATAGCGGGGAGAATCTGACTTAACAAAGAACCCATTATTTATATTGGCTCACTTGTAATTAACCACGATGAAAGACACCACTTAGTATACAAAATTTTAATTAATAATTTTTTAGTATATCCAGATCCTCTAATTTTGGTCCTGGAGAGCCCAGCAGGTCTTATAGGTTTCCATTAAATTATAAATATATAAACTTTCATAATTTTCACTGTGTTCAATTATGTAGATGAACATTAGTAATCGAGTGATAAACTGGGGTAAATATCTATGTATCCTTAAGCCCTCAAAGACAATTGTTATAAACACATTGCACACATTTCGTGTCAATTACTAGCCTGTGTTCCCAATATTTAGTGACAGGCAATTTAGGGGAACCTGTTAAACATACTCTCTTGAGATGGGGAAGTGGTGTGCATTTTTAAAAAAAAGGTTCAGGGCAGGATTTTAAATAAAAATACATAAAAAAAACTTTTTTTTTTCAGCAACAAAAACATGGTTCCACATAAGAATGTGTAATGAATAGAAATCTATGTTATTAACTCAAGACAGAGACCACAATCTTGTACAACCACCAGGTTTAAGAATAAATGTTTTTAAAGACACAGTTTGCTCTGATGATTTCAGCTGTACTTTGTCCTGGATTTTAATGAAATGCTGAGAACAAAATTCAATCAACAGATAAAAAAAAGATACTCTGGAGTCAAACAAATCACTTACAACATACACAATATTTTTACATTTTCACCAAGGTCCTGTGCGTTACATTCCCATTATTTAATAAAATACTTTTTAGCTTTATTTTGAAAAAAAAAACTTCAAATTTTAAATGTGTGCCGCTGGTTTTTATCTAATTGTGCCTAAGGTTCTGCACAATGGACAAAAAAGTTAAAGTGATTCAGACAAACTTTACTTAAATCAGGCCACAGAAAATTATTAGTTCTTTTATAATTACTAGCACTAAGAACCTGCATGGTTATTTACTAGATATCTCAGAAAAATATGCTGTAGTGTGAGCAATTAAACTCAGATTTTCAACACAATACTATCTAGATCCATCTTTTCTTGGCCTCAATCACATCACTGAAATACAACTAATCTGAAACCACATTAATTTTGCATAAAACCCATACCCCACATATATCAAATTAGTCATATTCATTTTAAACTATGATAGATACCATAAAGAGTTTAACAAAATAAAAGTGCTGGACTGGTACGAATTTAGTGCTGATCTAAACTCTCTATCCTGGCTCAAATCAAGGAACGTCATCTGCCTGCAAATTTAAACCTGCTGGTCACATTTCACTTCCCAAAAAACTCTCAAATGTTTTTTTTTTTTACAAATTTAAAACAGAACACACAGTTTGAAACTTAATGAACTCGCTCGCGGTCACAAAATAAAGAAATCGGAACGCTACAGAGTGTGGAAACTGTGTATACAAATAAAGTATTACATTTTTGTCTCCTTAATTCATTTCTTTAGAAAAGGACATTACTGGCAGATGGCAGCCCATTGGAATAAGTCTAGTTATTTTAATACCACCATATATTTTGTACCAAACCTCAACCAGATAATATTCTGATCACATTCATTCACTGAACTGTTCCCAGACTGCTAAGGCTGAGCCCTGCACTTTGTGTTCTGTTGACTAGCACAGGACCTCATGCTACCACTAAATTCTTCTTAAAAACCAAAATGATTTAGGAATTGAACAGGTTAACAATGAGGTGCCGACACCAAAACATTTAATAACAGTACAGGCCATCGCATCAATCTTACCGCTTCCCATTGCCCGGAAAAATGAGAAAATTCATAAAATATTTCTCTGGTGTAGCTTTTCAAAATCGCATGGTGCTCCTATTAATGTCTGGCACCACACCAGTTGAGAAACACTCATCTTACAAAATAAATAACGATTCATCAAATTTCCTTGGTTGTTGTCTTCGGCAAGCTGGGAGGAGATGTATATATTATTTACATAAGGTCTTTTCAAATTGAGGAGTGAAACTTGGGACGCAAAATTTAGAATTACAATACCAAAAGGAATTAATGGCTTTACATACAATGCAGCGACCACAAGCTCAATGAACTAAACTTTTAACAAAACCACTGAAATCCCAAACATTTCCAATTTTCCTGAAAATGAGACTTGAAAAACTGCATTTATTTGAAATGTCAACACTACTCCAATAATAATAATAGCTCTATAAACTTTTGTAATAGCCCATATTAGACATTAAACCTACTGCTTTCTTAATATTACATGAAATTAAAACATTGATAGCCAATATTAAGTCATTTTAAGAAAGCATTAAGAGTATATGTAATTCAATGGAAGGGCACAACACATACTGTAGATTTTGTGAATAAAAAGCTTGATTCTATTGGCTTAAATTGGCTTTTTACCTTTCATACCAAGAACAGCACTAGTAAAATGCTACTGCTGGTGATGAAATAAAGGTTGTATCTTAACTCATGCATGCCCCTTCAACAAAAATGGAAAACACCATGCTAGTTTTCACATAAAACCTACTCAGGTACTCCAGAAGAATTCTGTATATATTGGACGATTCCACATTCATGTCATGACATGAATCACAAGTTATTTTAGACGAGTCCCTTGTTAAAAGACTTAAGAGAAGATTTAAGAATTTGTTCCACAAGCCTAAGTTTTTTGTGGTTCTGATTTTTAAAAAAAATTATACTGCTGGTAAAGTATCTTCAAGCAGCTTGGTGTCTGTGAAAAATTATTTCCTTTCAGGCTGAGCACGAGGTCCCACAAGGTCAGGAATGTCCATCTGCTTGCAGATTGTAGGATAGCTTTGCATATCTCCACCAATGGTGGAAGGTGATTCCTTACGAATTGCCACTGGATGCTCTCTAGAAGAAGCAAATCCCACTGCTTCTCAGAAGAGTTACCCAAAATGAATCAAATCTTGCAAATGACGGGGGTCCTGGTTTCAACAGGTATGGTGTTCCTGAAATTGTGTAGCAGCAAGTGTGTGAAACGCCTGCACGAGGAGAATTGAACAGATCCGTTGGAAGGTTATTCCACTTCTCCATTAGCGCATTCCTATGGTTCACCGGCCAACCGGTCCTCCACACCAAAGTGAATCACCTTTGATGCTTCAAGCACGTCACCGCCCCTCCCATTCACCTGCACTTCCAAAAGGTGTTCAGGGCTTTACCACTGTTTTAGACAGCCCTGGTGCTAATTGAAGCTGCAGCAGTTCAAGTAGTTAATGCTCTTGCCTTCCCCGGGAACTGGGGAGGCTACATTGTTGAGCAGTGTGTTTTGTTTGGCTTCACGGATCAGTTCAACGGCAAGGTCCAAGAAGAGTTTCTCCACGTTGTCGGATTCCTTGGCAGAGGTCTCCAGATAGTGCATGTTTTGGGCTTCTGCAAATTCTTCTGCTTTCGGCCTTGTAACTTCCCTTTTCTCAGCCAAGTCGATTTTATTGCCTTTAAAATACATAAGAGAAGGATGAAAGAACGGTATTGCAAAAAAAATAAATTAGTGGGTAACTCCTGTCAAGTTTTAGTAAATGCAATTTTGTTATGCTGCTTATGATGAAAGCTTTCTGTTGATGTGAATATTATATAATATTATTTTTTTAGGATATCAGGGAGTCAACTATGACATCCAAATTTAATCTTACGGATGTTTGGGGTCAATATACATCCCTCCCTTCTTGTTGAAATGAAACAGCAAAAATAGAGCCAACTGTTGTTTGGTAGAAATGTATCACAATGCATGAATTATCAAAAGTTAAATATTAAGTTGCAGATATTAAATATTAAGTCTCAAAATGTTTTACTAGGGCAGAATCCACTTCTTCAAACACTGGAATGTAGCACAGCACCCACCTGGGTAACTGTGTGTGGCAGATTGTAGTTATTTCTAACAACAATTCCCTTTTATATATTTTTTTTAATTAAAATGTGCTTGCAATTCCCCAAATACCATCACATTTCTAGTTTGGTCACATGATTAAACCAAACTTACTTTTAGTTAGAAAAGCATTACACATTATCGCCCCTGCTGAAAGACATTATGCTAGTTTACTTAATGGAATCTACTAATTGGACAGTTTTTCCTTAAATTGGAGCCATCAGGGAAACTGAAACTTCTTACCTACTAGGACGGTCACAACTTTGTTGTTCGCATATTGCTCAATCTCTCTCAACCATTCAGGGAGACATCGGAAAGACTCTTCACAGGTGATGTCATAGGTCAATATAAGAGCATTGGCACTGCGATAGTAACTCTGCGTGATGGACCTGAACCTCTCCTGTCCCGCTGTGTCCCAGATCTGTAGCTGTATTGACATTTCAACGGCAAAAGATTGGTTTTTTTGCTTACATATCATACATAGAATGCATTTTGCAATATTGGAAAGCTATTTCCTGTTACAAAATCAAAATCATTTCAATCACAAGTCCACAGGCAAATAGTTAATAATTCCTTCATTCTGTTACAGAATTTAAATAATTTATCATCGCTATTATTTTAACCTAAAAGGAGAATATAGGCACAAAAACAAATACCTGGAAATAGGAGTGCAGTATCTAATTTATTTCCCCTAATTAAGATGATATACAATGGTTCTTGAAAATAATTAGTTACCCCTAAGTCATATGCCATTACAATAAGTGCATTTTTTGCTCAGTTACAATGTTTTACTTACAACAGAACAGAAGGATGAGGGAGTTCCTCGTGTAAAAAATTGTGAATCGCAAGGAAAATCTTATAACTCACCTTTACTTTTTCCCCTTTTATTTCAACGGTCTTAATCATGAAGTCAACGCCTATTGTCGCACCTTGTCCTGGCGGAAATAGGCCCTGTATTACAGAAGGGGATGTGATAAAGATTTAATCAGAAATCTGATTAATTTCAGGGAAATGAAAAAAAGAGAAAAGCAAAGCATCAAAACAGAATATTCAGATTCTGCAGAGAATGCTTCACTGATTCACAGTCCTGAAAGTGCTAAAATATTGGTCTCTGCCCACAGTGCTACACAGCCTACACTACATTACTGTACACTGATATCCATCCATTCAGTGAAGTTTAGAGAGCCTCTTCTCCAGAGACCATTTTCTATGGCACTTGGCATGAAAGAGATTCTATTTTGAGTCTTAGCTGTGGAACCCTACTAGCCTGAAAACTTTTTCAAACCTTGTGCATAAAAGCTTTGCTTCTGAATCTACTGTATGCACTCGACTGTGGCAGGAAACACTTCTATGCATTTCAAAGTACTTTAATTAAAAACAAAAGTAAGAAAAACAGCAACCGGATAATCAAGGTTTAAATAATAATTTCCAGTTCAATATAACACAATTTAGAATTGTTATATTAAAATGTTATAATTTACAGATAAACTATGGAACACATAGTATAAAAATATTCTATCTGATTCTATGGAATAAATATTTAGAATAAATATTTTATTTTATTCTATAAAAAACAGCCTCTAAAAATCAAATTTAAAAAATGCTGAATACATAATGAATCAGCAATTCATTTTAATGAGCTGGGCTTTACTGAAGACGATGTATATTCAGTTCCTCGCAAAATATAATTAAATGTGCAATAATAATTTAATTAAGATGATAAATATGATAAAATCATTGTGTCATTTGATTTGTGAGTCAACATGCCTCAAAAAAACAATAAGAAAATGAATAAAAGGCAATAACAGCTATTTGCTGTTTTATTTGAAAGTTTTTTCTCTTTTTTCTACTTTTCCATACTTTACGTGTGCATCTTTACAGGATCTAACAATTTCTACCTCCAAAGAACCTGTCTGCTAACTAAAATTACATCATCAATAATCTCAGGCATTCACCCCTGTAGGAGGTTAAAAAAACAGCAAAAACATATTTTTAAAAATGTAACCCACCTGAGTAAAACGTCGAACCAAACAGGTTTTTCCCACACCTGCATTCCCTATTAAAACGATTTTGAACAGGTAGTCATAATCTTCCATGCTCATTTACACAACTGCAGAAAATGAAAAGGGAAAAGCGGTTTTTGTTAAGTCTGGAATTGATTTAATCCTGTATATACTTCAAATTATTAAACTGCAGTATTATGAAATGACAAAATATTGGTAATCGTAGTAATTTCATTACTTTGTGAATTTATCCAAAGCGCTTTAATCAATGAACTGTAAAATACTGTAGTTCAGGTGGGTAGCTGCGTCAGCATGTGTCGCCTGCAAAGGAACAAGTAATAGGTTTATTCCATGCTGAAAAGAGAAGAGATAAAACACAACGTTTTGGCTGTGAAGCCTTCTTCGGGTGTGTCTTCCTATCACCCGAAGAAGGCTTTACAGCCAAAACGTTGTGTTTTCTCTCTTCTCTTTTCAGCATGGAATAAACCTATTACTTGTTCCTTTGTAAAATATTGTATGTTAACATTGCTCTTCCCTCTGACTGTCTTTATTGTTCACAGAATATATGAGAATTATGAAGAATGCGATATGACATTAGCATTTTTGTGGATCCTTACAAGAACACAGGTCCCCACAGTATTTTACTTGTATGATAAGGCTCCTGTGATGACAAAGAAAGGCCATTTATTTAAGACAGCTATGAAAACTTCTGTGATTCCTTCCCTTGCAGATGTAAAACGTTCACATAAAAATTGAAAGACACATGCAGTGCACACCTAGTAATGTAAAATATTTTTTTAAACACATTTATGAGTAAGCCGGGTTGAAATATTACTCCTGCAACAAACCAGTTAAAACAAATAGTTAGGAAAAACAATAGTTAGGAAAAGCAAAAACATTTGGAAAGACTCAAAATGGAAAACTTGAAAAAAAATTTTTTAACAATAATAAAATAAAAACCCTAGATAGCAAATGTGTTGCTGTATGTTATCAAGCACCAGCACGGCAGAAGAGCCTAAATCTTGAAATTCATACACCAATAAATATCTGGATTTTTGAAACTACAACAACTCCACCCAGTCGAACTCTGCCTTAAATACTTGACCTAATTTTTCATTTTCACTAACTCCCAAGGTAACTTACGTAACTGGAAGATTTCATTCTGCCCAGAACATTGGTTGTTACGAGGACAGATTTTAATGTTCTACTTTGTTTTAACACATTTCAGATTAAACTGTGCTGCATAAGAAAAACAGATGTGAAACTAAGGAGGTCCCATTTTTTCGGTTTCATCTGTCTGAAAGTGAAATAGTACACACAACTAGAACAAAAGAAAGACATTGATTTTGGACGAAGTTTTTATATAACTATCCTTTACGGGAAAACCAGACTAACACATAAACAACATGCATTTGAATTTGGTCAGAACGATATCACATTTTCAACAGTCATAGAAAACACGAGGAGTCTTTTTCAGAAGAAAATAAAACGGCACTCTACAAACCCGCGAGCAAATCAAAGCAGCTCTTACAAACAATCCAAACGAGATTACAGGTAAAAGAATGATTCAGAAAGTCTCGAAAAACAGCCTTTCAAACGAGTTGAATGTGTGTGTTGAATACGTCTCTCAACATTAAAATTCAAATATGATCAAAGATTTTATAATTCAGGGCCATAAATTGCAGGAATACCCGAGCCTCAGCACAAGTGTGAACTCTACAACATGGGGACGACGGTGGCGAGAGTGGACAAAGGGACACAGGACCGGCTTTGACAACCGATGTCCTTCACGACACATCCAAAACAACACAGAGCCACACTCAGGGAGGTGGGTGGGAAGGTCCTTGGAGACTAAGAGAGAGAGGATGAAGGGGGTATGTTTGCAAGTGAGAAGACACCACTGCAAAAGAAAGAAAGCACCGTGGGCCTCACAAAGACGACAAAGGGGACTAGTCCAGCCCGTCCTAAAAGGTTCTTGTGAACGATCGGACATAAACAGTACCAGAGCCAAAACAGCAGAAACAATGTCTCTACAGGGCAGATACAGAATCCACAAACAATGCACAGTCAAAGTGCCAATTCAACTGTAAACAAACCAGGAAGCCCCCCGAAGGCCCAAATGAATGCTTCACTTAAACCACGTCAACAAGAAACATTACGTATCATTCCACACATTGGAACGGGGAATTCGACTTGTACCTATTAACAGTTGGACTCAAATATATATTTTTAAACAAAATGGTTTCCCCTTCTCCATTTACTCATGGAAACATTTGTTAACAAATAGAAGAGCTATATTTATAGGTATTCCAATACCATAAAGAGTCCTAGATGTCTGCAATTCAAAACACAAACAGGCATTCTTTCTGGTCTCACTAATTGATGGCCATGGATTGTATCACAGTGTTTGACTCTTCACTAACAATTCACATTCTGTGAACTGACATCCATTTTAACCTGGTGTAATACTAGCCCGGAAATAACAGCTTTGCTAAAATGAGGTTCTTCATTAGGCTTAATTGAGTTTGTTACCCAGAGGTACAAAATTCAGCACTCAAATAAGGAAATCGAAAATGGCAGGAGTCTGTTGATCTCAAGCTCATTTAGTACAATATCTGCTATTCCACGAACAGGTCTACAGAAGAATAAGTACATATCTAAATTCAGTAGTAGTTTGTATATGTACACATATGTGTGTAGAGGAGGTTATTTTCAATGCTGTTCTTTATCTAGGAGTTCAAAAGCAACAACCCCTCAGTATTACATTGGCATACAGTCAAAGGACTTGCTTATTAGACAGTAAGTCCACCACGTTGCTATGGCAGAGTTCTTTGTGAGTCTCTACGTTGTCAAGGCTATATGGTAAAAGACTCAGGGTATTGCCATAAAGAATCTTAATGCATTCCTCTAGACAGCGTTTCTGTAGCTACCGAACAATATAAAACAGCTAGCCATGCAGAAACTGAAAAGGAACTTCTTCGGAAAACACACTTTTTAAATACAGGGACTGAAGCCATCAAGGCACTGTTCTTACTGTGAGAACAGTATACATGGTACATTATTGAGCTGGACAACCAGTCAAGGTAAAAGCAAGGGGAACTTTAAGGGAATCTTTCTACCCCACAGGTCACAAAGGTCAACTTGTCCAAATGGAATTATTATATATATTTAAAATACTGACAACTGCCCCCATTTGAGGAAATTAAAATAACCTGCCGAGCTGCCAGGTTTGAAACTATATATGTAATTAAGACCATCAATTAACCTGCTACAAAGAAATATTTATTTTCCCCATGAATATGGACTAGGCTGAGCTGGCAGGTGTTAAACTCAGCACTGGGGAGAGCTCCTCAAACACTTCCTTGTTACTGCATTGTAGCAGACACTATTCTGAATCTCAGCATTTTCCTAATCTAAGTCCTGAGCCTATTATTGACTAAAGGTGGATGGATTTTATTAAATAATGGTAAACTTACAGGGGGATGAGCCTGATTTGAAGTTAACTCTGTCCCACTTTATGACCAAAGGTGAATGTGAATAGGACTGTGAGCACAGGAGCGGTCAGAAAGGGTTGCAAATCAGCTGCAGCATTTGAATAGCAGGTCATACACTAACACCCACGAATCCTTTATCTTCTACATAAACAAGCCTATGCTTTTGTCTAAACCTTTGCAGAATTATAAAAATCGAATTCAATGTTAATAACGGTCGTTATATGCATCTTTACATTGCCGGCCCGCTGTGAATTCAAATTAGGAGTTCTGTTTTGTCATTTTCGCACAATACTGAAGAGAAATTCAAAGACAGAAACGCAGCTCTTCACCATCATTTTTGTCTTGAATCTCTCTACCTTTCTTGTAAGCAGATTTTCTGGAAACCCCGCAATCAAAAGTTTCAGTGCAGAGAATATTCAAAAGACCCAAGTTGTTAAAGGACTGTGCAGTAACATAGGGAATGTTGCTTTTCTAATTTAAATTCACTCTGAGGTAATTTTGGTGATAAATGCAAAATAATCGGATCAGTTACACAGCTTCTTAAAGACAATAAACAACAGACTCAGATAAAGTAAACATTTAAATCCACCATATTCTTTTGAACAGGCATACGTCTAATTTAACCGTACGAATAGACATTGCGTTTAGAAGCAAGCTTTTGCAGAAATGAAAGAAACAGTAAGATAAAATAATTTTCCGTTATTTCCAGTTATCAATGTTTCGAAGTGCATACACGCATATACAAATCATGAATGTAATACATGCAACCCACTGAAATTTAGTCACACATCAAGTTGTTTTATCAGCAATTAAAAATGCTGCAAAAAATACCTCATCCATACAAATCGTGGGATAATAACGTTTAGGAAAATTAATTTCATGCCTGACAAATTTAGCAGTGTGCGAATCATTGCATATTTTATTACTTCATAAAAATTATTGATATTGGTACCACCCTTCTTTTCACTTTTCTCGACAAAAAAAATCAAACCATAATGGACATGCTTTGGCCACATAAAAATCGTATTTGAACTTACCAAAAATGGGGATTTCCCCATACATGAGCTATATGTAATTCATAAAATTTGCTTTTCACAGGGATAATCGTTTAACTTGTCTTTTCGTCTTGCAGCGTCAACCCAGCCAGTATTCAGAGGTTGGTTCCAATGTTGCACAATGATTGCAGAGGAGTTTCCTTTGCTGTTTAACAATGACATCATTCCTTTTCCAATGGGAGGAGAACTGCCATGCTCAAAAAGAGCCTAGAGATGGTTCTGGGATTTGTAGTCCGTATTGTAGGGGAAACGTTTGTTCAAAGAACAACCTGATCGCGAATGACCTACACTTCCCAACAGCTTTATCGGGGAAAAACAAATGAGCACATCCCCCTTAAGTGATCTTGGAAACAAACAACTTTTACAGAAAGGGGAATAGCCAAAAATGTAGTTTTGTTTTCACAATGACTGTTAGAACTGCTTGTTTTAAATTACAATGCTATGTTGTTGGGTTTATTTTACGTGAAAGGGGCATTCCATTATGATGTTATGATGAGCGGGACAACAGTAATAATAATAATAATAATAATAATAATAATAATAATAATCGAAGACATTTCATTTAACCTTTTTAAATTCACACATTGTTTCATGTTGATTGTAGATTTAAATGGAGGTTTCTTTAAAATGAAAAAAAAACATGTTGCAATTACATTTTCCTTTATAGATGAAAGTATAGATTTTGTCAATTAACATTTGTCAAATAGCTCTAATCTGGCAAACCTAATTTTAAACATGAATGTGTTATATGTCATCCTATATAAAATAGTCACACAGAAACACTTCATTGCTACAATGTAATGTTTAGCTAATTATATTAACAAAGGAAAAAATCGATATTGTATAAAACATAAAAGGCGATGAAATAATTACATTTTAAAAATCAGCTTGAGGTTTGTCAAGGGTGAAATAATGTGCAAAGCGACCATTTGAATTGTATTGCACTGCTCTTTGTTGAAAATGTAAGTCGGTAAACAGGCAAGTGGCCATGATTCACAGCACACTACATACTAGTTTTAATGTTGGACAACCTTGCCCATGCATTTTTTTTTATTTCAAATTTGACAAGCATCTCATTTTGTTGTTCTTCATTCCCATATCTGCAACATCAGTGGTTCTCGTATCTAATCGACCATGACTGATTACGGGTTGTTGTTTTTTTTAATTGATTGTTAAAATGCTAATACAACTCCTAGGCATTTGAGACTTGTTACCGAGTCATCCCATTTCACTGGGTGGGCGCATAGTCTTTTGGTATGTGGCAACCAATCACGTTAATTGAAGGCAGCGTTCGAATGTTTGTATAATACAAAAGAGGGCGTCACAGCGCCAGTGACTCAAACCGACCAATCGAGAGCCGACGACGTAGCTGGGCGTCTAACTAATTTTGTATGACGCCAGTGTATTGAAGCACGGCGGCCATCTTGTTGCTAAAAAGATCGGAAGCTAACGCAGGAGAGAAAGGAGAAACGGTTTCTCTCTGGAAGCGTAACAAAAGGATAAGTAAAAAAATATGTCCGATGATGTTTAAAAAGGACTGATTTATCATTTACTTTAGCTAAATACATAAGATTGTAGTGGAAAATCGAGTAGACACGACGAATGATGACGGACGACGCAGCGAGGGAAGATGCCTGCAGAGAGTACCAGTCGTCCCTTGAAGATTTGACTTTCAACAGCAAACCTCACATCAATATGCTGACCATTCTGGCGGAGGAGAACCTGCATTTCGCCAAGGATATCGTCGCAATTATCGAAGCACAAATCGCCAAGGTTTTTATGAAAATAGAATTTTATTTTAACTCATTTCAACTGTTTAATTCTCGACACAGCATTTATAGCCGTAGTAGTCACAACATGGCGACCTCTCTTCACTGTAACTTAGAGCTCGGCCTGCCAAATTACAGTCCCACGGTGTTATTCTTAGGTTTTAACGTAACATTAGGCCCTTAAAACAGTTGTTCTATTTGGAACGTACGAAACAGCATTCGTAAAACGCACTAGATTATTTGTCGAAAATATGAAATTTGATAGAAGAGCCCAAAATTAGTACAGATTAATTATGAACATAACTTAGTATTTAAAAATTAAACATTTGATTTTTTTTCTGCGTAACCCGTGGAAGTGGCCGAGTAATTGTGCGGTTATTTGTACTGTGGGAATTATACAATATGGCGACGGTGAAAGACACGGTCGGCCATTTAAAGAAGTTGACATCATCCTTTAGCACGTGGTGTAGGGTCCGAGTATAAATTACTGCGTTCTCTAATCTCAATATCTTATTACGAATGTGAGGTTTTGCTTTATATGTGCAATACCTTTAGTGAAAACTGTGCCACGGGCCTTAAACGTAATTTCCTGCATTTTCAACCAGAACGCTAACAGTTTTACATTAACCTTCAATCCTTTTCTAGGCTGTTGAATAAAATTCCCCCACCGTCGCGTTGCTGTTGTGCGTTTTACCGGCACAATTCCAGCATTGATCGCGATGTTGAATCCACGTACTTTTTAAGTGGCATTCGCAAATGCATTAACAGGATTGGCACGAGTGTTTTAAAAGTAAAAAAAAAAAACGCGACGCGCGAAGGCTGAAGCCGTGGTACTGGTATTCCTGGTTGAAAATGCAGCCTGAAAACCTGATTAAAAAGCGCTTTTATGAGTGCAATGTTCAAGCTGGTAATAATAGCAAGCTTAAGATCCTTCGTGCGGCTGATAAATGGGTTAACCAAGAGCAGTTCCAGATTGTCGAGTGGTGATTACTCGTCTTAATACATGAATTTTGAATGTTTATGAATGGTATTTAAAATGTGACAATAAAAAATATTAAATATGGTTTTGTCTTTTTTATTTCCCGGTGTAAGTTATTGGTTTAAAAACAATCGCCTTGGTAAAACATTTGTTTGTACTAGTGGTCTTGACTTCAATGCTTAAGGTCTCAGTCGTGAACCTCAAATCTATTTTTTTTAGGCTGGGAGAGAAACTTATTTTATTCCCTGTGTCGGAGTGCCTTCTCAAGTTCGTCACCATATAGCTTCCCTTTTTTATAACGTGACCTTTTTTTGGAGCCACATTTTTGAAACATTCTGCGAATTGGTATTTTTCATTTGGGTAATTATAACCTGACCTGACCTTCATTGTTGAAGTCGGGTTTTGAAACTGACTGTGCAGGCATTTTGTTACATTAGGAGGGGACACTTTGAATTTTCTGTTCTTTTCGTGTAACAACGGAACTGTTTGAGGTTTTCATCAAATATTGCAATCCCGGGAAGACGTTAAATTTTCTACATGGTTGTTTCAGGTTCAAAACTGTTGACTGTCCTTCTAATTCAAGGTTTTAGTCGGCAAAATATAACGTCTGTTGAACTACAGGAATATTCCTGTTCAAAGAGTAAATTCTGATTCCAGTGTTGTATATTGCTCTTTACATTTCTTTCTGAGTGGTCACTGCAGCTGGGAAATCTTTGTTCTTAGGTGTTGTAAAGACACATGAAATGTGATCAACTAGCCATTTTTTTTCTGCAGACAAGTTTTTTTTTGTCCCCTTTTGGTGATCTGACTATTGCTTGTTTTTATATACTTTTGCTGTTACATCTGTAAAGCAACGAGATTTTTTTTTCTGGATCTGATTACCAGCTTAGTTTCGGTGTGGAACTTTTCATTGGTGCCTGTAATGCTAAATATTGAATGAATAATTAAGTTCTTTTGTTCACTTTATTCACCCATATTTTTATTTTGTGATTAGTTTTTTTTAGTGGGCCTACAAGTTTCTCCGAGGTAAATTAACGGACTGATTGTTTTGAAGCTGAATATTTCTTCAAGAAAGACATTGCTATTAACTGATTGTTATGGACATGAATACTCAAAATGTGCTTTGAATGGCTTACTTTGAAGACGTGTGTGAAGGTTTTTGCCAATTTTGAAAATTAAGGAGCTCAACTAAACATTTAAATGCCTGTTCTAAGAAAATTCAGTTTTAAGGTTTCATGCATGGTAACAATTTTAAGAGTTTTGCACTGGTGTCATGACTGTTGAAAGAAGTTCAAAATGTTTTTCACTAACACCAAAACAAAGGAACATTTTTACCTCTGGGGGCAAGGATTATAATTCAGATTTTTTTCCTGAATGAAATTAATTTCTTGGAATTTTTTTAATTGTGTTGGACTGTTCAAGATCTTGAACCTACATTTTTTTTTAATGAAACAAATGCTGCCATGTCTTGATGTCTTCAGCAAAATGGTTGTAATCAATTGGGCTGGCACTGAATTGCCTGAAATGGCATTTCAAAACCTGGGATTGAGGAGAAAGTTCTTTCCAGATGCTAATTGAAGACTTCTTGCCTATTGCAACAGCATGGATTTTTTTTTTCCCACTACAATAATTCCAAATGCAAACATCATTCTAAATATGTAATTAAAAGGGGAATTAGTAAAACTTAAAGGTGATTGCTTGAGAAAAGGTAATGTGTTTTAGTGTCCCTTAAACTTCATCCTGGGGTAGAAGAGAAGACCTCTGACATTCCGTTTTTCTGTGTGCATCTTAATTGTTCAAGCAGTACGTGATACAGTAGACATAGATTTCCCTAATGTGTAACCAGAAATGAAAGTGCCAAGATGGATTTTGACACGTTAACATTATGATATGGGATCTAAGTGTTTTGCTATGTTCTAAACTGTTCAAGTTTTCTATCACTTTAGGCACCACCTGCAGAGAAGCTTCCAGTTTTATACTTAGTGGATTCCATTGTGAAGAATGTTGGACGGGAGTATCTTGCAACGTTCACAAAAAACCTAGTCCATACATTTATTTGTGTTTTTGAAAAGGTATATGTTCTTTTGGAGTTATTCACGTCTTTTCAGAAACATGATGATGTGGGTTTTGTAACAGATGTAAAATAGATGTAGTTCTTTTAATGTGCCTTTTAATGTTACTCTTCTATGTAAGTTAATGTTGCTGCTTTTAATTCTATATGATATAACAAGTGTAGCAGCAAAATGTTGCAGAAATGCTGAATTGAGTGTAATTTGTGCACAAACTTACGTACAACTTAAGTGTGTTAAATGAAATAGAATAACTATCACTTTATATTTCATTTATCGGTTTTATTAAAGGTTCATGTTAATTGATCTAAATATAACTTTGGAAGTCTGATATTAATGTTATTTTACTTTATTTTAATCAGATTTAATGTTTGAAATGAAAATGTAAAATCTATTGCTTTGTGTGTGCAATAAAGTGTAAAATGTAAAGTTTTCTTCCAAATGTCATATTGAAGTTTGAACAATGAGCAGCATTTCCTGGGCTCTTGGAATTTGTCTGCAAGTTATTTGGAAGCGATCAGCATCTGCTTAAGTACTGGGGCTGCTGGGTTATGTACAGTAGTAAATTTCTAAGCAGCTTTGAGCTCCGCATTTTGCTATATAGGAAGTAATTCCTGTATGTGTAAGAACTTTGCCCTTTTGAAGATGTATTCAAATGTGTATAGTTTAGGATTCACTAGATCACTAGATTCACTAATCTTTTGAAATAGCGTTTAAAGTTTATTCATCGGTTAAAAAATAATTTTACATTTAAAAGTTTGTATATAATTATACTGTGAAGCACCAAGCTCCATATCTGAGTCCATATGTAATGTTCGCAGATTGTGAAGTTTAGGGTTGTTCTTGAGACGGATCAATGAATTGAAACCCGAGTTGGATATTTGTTGCTGTAAAAATGTACCTTAGCACCAAGTTGTAGTTTTCTTTTTATTTTAGGTGGATGAGAACACTAGAAAAAGTCTTTTCAAATTGCGTTCCACTTGGGAAGAAATTTTCCCACTGAAGAAACTGTATGCCTTAGATGTGCGGGTGAACTCCTTAGATCCTGCCTGGCCAATTAGACCTCTGCCCCCAAATGTGAATAGTTCAAGCATTCACGTGAATCCTAGATTTTTAAAGCCGGTAAGTAATAGTTTCTGTCATATAAATGTGAATTTTATTTTATTCAATATCGACATTTTTTACCTGTCACAATTTGATTGAAAACCGTGACTGCTGTTGAAAAGTAATTCACAAACCGAAGAAAAATAAAGCAGTAATTAGACTTTTCTACCTCTTTGTTTAGACACCCTTTTCGTCCCAATATCTTTTTCTCTACTTTCGGGATAATTTAGAGATGAGGAAAAGAAGATATTTTTGGCGGGGGGTAATTGTTGATTTCGATAAACCTTTTTTGTTTTTCTTCACTAGAATGAGGAAATTACTCCCAGGGCAAGTACCCCACAGGTTGCACCCCACCCAGTTGTAAATGAGAAGAATGTGACACAGGAGCAAATAATAAGGCAACAGCTGCTTGCAAAGCAAAAACAATTGATTGAGCTTCAGCAGAAGAAGCTAGAGTTAGAGCTTGAACAAACTAAAGCCCAATTGGTGAGTGATGCTTTTTTATTAATGTTGTGAATGCTGCTACCTATTGATTAGTCCTTCCCCTTACTACCAGACAGGTCTATTTAAGAACATTTTAGAAATGCACGGCAGCACAAATCTTGTGATTGAGTGTGGTGTGAATGGTCCGCGGTGAGGGTTTTCATTTTTTATGGTAGATGCAAGGTATACGGCTTTTGGAATAAACTTTTCGGTTACATATTGGGAACATCCTTCGGAAGGTTTGGAGTTTTACCATTTTTATTTTAAATGCAAGAAGGTTATAGAGATTTTTATTTTTAATCTGTTTTACCTTGTAATTTGCTAGAGATCTTATTAAAGATTTTACAACTTTCCCACGCATGATCTTATTTTAGCGTAATATGTTTTTTCTTTTTCAAATACGTTTCAAATGTTATGTCCTCGTTCTGCTCTTTTATTAATGTTTTCTTTTGTTTTAAAGGCTGCTAATCAGCTGGGATCCATCAAGTCACAAGTTAATGCTCCAAGCCAACCCCAACCCCCCGCTGTCAGTAAAGGAACTCCTCCAGTTGCTGCACCCTCTGACAAATCTTGGCTTCCACCACAGCAGGATATCAGAGTGTCCACAAGAGATCCTCGTTTGAATCGGGCTGGTCAGCAGTCTACACCGGTAAAAGAGAAAGTGCCAAATACAAAGGAAAGTTACAACCTAGGGACTACTTCAAATGCTCCTGACAAGAAGGCAAATCCATCAGCTGACAAACAAAGCAAGACTGAAAAATCGAAGTCGGTGAAAAAAGAGACAGTAGTAGAAGATAAGCCAAAATCCAAGTCACCCTCTCCACTAAAGGCTTTTCAGAGCAAAAGTAAATGTTCTGATTTGGACAGCGTCAAGGGACCAGACTTAAACAAAAGAGATCCAAGGTTACGGAAGCATTTGCATGATAAGGCTGATGTCAAAGAAGATGAAATTAAAGAAAAGAAGAAAGGTGTTGAGAAAAAGGAGAGGGAAGACTCGAGCAAAGCCTCTGAGCACAGATCTTCAAGTACTAAAAGTAAACTAGCTAATGGTGCTGTCAACAAACATGAGAGAAATGAAACTTCTGATAAACAGGACCCAAAACTGAGCAAATCAAATGCAAGGAAAAGGTCGCGGTCACGATCTCGGTCACCCTTATTGCATTCCCCGAAGAGAAAAGACAGGCGTTCACCGAAGAGAAGAACGCGGAGCATTTCATCTTCCCCCCCTAAATCTGGAAAGGGGAGACAATCTGGAGGCAGGCATTCACATACTGATGACTTTACTAATGCAAGAGATGAAAGAAGTATCCCGAAAAAGAACACCGGTGATCCTAGAAGACTCAAGAGATCCCTAGAGGACAGAAGTGTTGAATCCAGGGATTCTCCAAGATTACCTTTAGAACTGAAAGAGAATCCGAAAAGATGGAGGAGCGGATGGGAGGAAAATAAACAGTAAGTATTTTATGAGTAGTAGTGTACAAAACTAGATTCATGTTATAAGTGTCCTTAACTATATGTTATATAGTTAAATAGAATGTACCTGTTCTGTGGGAATCAGCTTTTTTAATTTGGGTACATAGTGGGTTAAAGGAAAGTTAAACAGTTTTTAACCGTTCAAATGTTTATAAAACAAAGTTGTGAGAATTTTTTTAATAAGGAATAGTATTGTTAATTGTATTCTCATTTCTTTTAAAGTATGAAACAGAATGAAGAGAATTTGGCACATGGAAAACCGGGCCCTCAAAGACACAAAACACCATGGTCTGGTAATCAAAGAATTCCTCGCTTGTCTAAGCAGCACCGATTAAGTGTGGATGCCAACCTACAAATACCCGAGGTGCTAAACTCTGCAAGTAAAAGAGATCTGCTTAAAAAGGTACTTTTTAAGAGCCTGTTTTTCATTAATGTGGGGTAGTTATTGCTTGATCAAAACAGATTTCCAGTTTTTAGGCTTTGCAGTAAGTTCTGTAGAGATCCCCAGAGCTATTTTTAAATAGAAGCTTTTTAAATTCACATCTGGGGTTTTTAAAATGTCAATTTGCAAGTAAATCGCTAAAATATGGATTCAGAATTCAATAGGCAAACCTATTTTTTTCTGGATGTAGTTTTGGCATCAAAAATAGTAAAACAATGTTAATGCACTTAAAGTTAAAATTGCCCTTTAGAATAGTTCGTTTGTAAGATTTTAACTAATCAAAAGGTGTTCAAATTTTGTATCTTAGTATTTTTCCTTTTCATCACAAATATTCATTGTGAGTAGTTCAGAAGTCTTGTTGAAAGGTTATTAATGTAAAATTAATTATTCTTCCTCTATACTAGGGTATTATTATTAAAGTAGCCACTGTAATAACATAATAATTAGACAGTATCTTGTAATTAGAGAGTAGTTACATATTAATGTAGTGTAGAGGCTGATTTAAGTACTTAAACAATCATTTAATTTGTTTTTTTACCTTTTTTTCTAAGGCAAGCAAAAGGCATGCTGATGGAGAAATAACCCAGGAGGAGTTTCTTTGTGTGGCCCACCAAATTAAACAGCTGTTTCAATATCAAGAAGAAAAGCAAAGGTCTGATTCCTGGGAAGGAAACAGTGAAGATGGGCAATATGGATCAAAGAAGAAGCCGTTATTATCAACACCGCCTTCACAACATGCAAATATGTCAGATGCTGAAATATCTTACTATGAGCATAAAGCTAAGTTAAGAAGAACACAGGTCCAGCATCAAGGTAATGATGTTTGGGATGCAGATGAGAGTCAGGAAGAGAACTACTCAAATGCTGAAACACATGTAAAAGAATGCGAGGCATCCAAAGGACACCCTGGACCAAGGATTGGGGATGGCCAGTTTATAAAACGGTCTCCGTTTACAAAAGGGTCTAGGCATCCTTCTTCCTTAACTGGTAGCAGATTTCGTGGACATAATAAGCAGTTATCTCAAAACGGTAAAGAGAAGTTGGAAGAGCATGATACATTAGTAGAAATTACTAAAGAATTATCTAGTAATAAAAGAGAAGTTCCCAGGCAAAGGGGCCGGCCTGGACAGGATTACATCAAGACAGATGATCTTCGTGAATATAGTGGTACTGATGAAAGGCTAAAGTTTAAGACAGAAGGCAAGTGCAAAGTTGTTTTGTGTTTCTAAACGAAATATGTTAATGAGTTGCACGTTGTACATTTTTTAAAATCATTTTGTGTTTTGACAGGTGGCAGAGAGCATCATTCACCTTACAGTGATCGACAGCAGCCTTTGAGACCATCTTATGATGGAAATGAAAAAGAAAGTTTAGGTGCAGCTCAAAGGAGATTTGGTGGAACAACTGAAGGACCCAAATTTGAGGAGTCTGCAAATCATCCTTGTTCAAGAGTTGATGAATCCAGCAAAAATGACCGATTATCCATTAAATCAGGTCCTTCCTTTAATAATTCACCAGGTCACCCTGACCAGGCAATTAGTGTTGATGGACCTTCTGGAAAGTCCCCTGTTCAAGTGTTTGATGGACCACCTAGCTCAGAACTGGAAAGCCAGCAATTGCCAAGGCATGAAGCCAATCCCAGCCAAAGATTTGAAGCCACTTCGACGGGTGATGGTCTTGTCACGCTTCCAGAAAATGATGATCATTTAAGCCACGATGTCACTTCCAGGCGCGATGTACATCCAGGAAAAGAACGGATTGGATCAAAAGGTCAAATGCTATGTGAATCTCCAGGACATACACCACCACCTGTTGCAGATGGTCCATTAAGATTTGAAGGACAGTTGGTTCCTCATAGGTTTGATGGACCACAAGGTCCGCAGCCTTTGATGATGTTTGATGGGCCCAGTGGTCACTTAGGTCAGCCTAGGTATGATGCGCCAACAAGACAGCATGCACAAGGGAGGTTTGATGTTAATCTAGGACAACAAGGCCCTGGGAGATTTGATGGCCCACCAGGACATTTAGGGTCAAGATTTGATGGACAACATCAACAGGGTCCAGGCCGATATGATGGCCCACAAGGACCAGGAAGATTCGAAGGACCACCAGTACAGCAAGCCCCAGTGAGGTTTGAAGGACCTGGTAGATTTGATGGTCCATCTATGCAACCTGGTCCAGTGAGGTTTGAAGAGCCTCAGGGTCAGCAGGGTCCAGGCAGATTTGATGGACCTCATCAGCAAGGTGTAGGTAGATTTGATGGGCCACTTGGACAACAGGCTCCAGGGAGATTTGATGGGCAAGGTCCAGGTAGATTTGATGGGCCACAGATGCATCATGGACCTAGTAGATTTGATAGCCCAATGAGATTTGAAGGCCCCCATATGCAGCAAGGTCCTGGTAGGTTTGAAGGCCCCATGAGATTTGGTGGTCCACAGCAAGGACCAGGAAGATTTGATGTGCCTTCAGGGCAGCCGGGTCCGATGAGGTTTGAGAGCCCAGTGGGTCAGCAAGGTCCAATTCGGTTTGAGGGCCCTCAAGGACAGTTAGGTCCTGGGAGATTTGAGGGGCAGTCAGTGCAACCGGGTATGACAAGATTTGATTGTCCACCAGGTCAGCAAGGTCATCCCAGGTTCTGTGGACCTCAAAACCAGTTGAGACCACAGGTTCCATCAATGTTTGATGCACCTCAGGGTCAGGGACCATTACAGTTTGATGGACAGGGCAATCCTCAACCATCAAATTTCAACATGCCAAATCTTAGATTTGGGGAACCTGTAGGCATGTTTGGTAGCACACCTCAACAGTTCCAAGGACAACAGAATATGCCTCAAGGATCAAATTTCAATGGGCAACCAGGTGCTGGCCCCTCTGGTTTTGCAAATTCATACTGCCAATCTGCTGCTCCTTTTTATAATGCTGGTGCCACAGTTGGAAACATGAACACCTCTGTACCAGCTGGAACCATCATCCCACCACAACCTGTAAGTAGTTTGGCTATTTGTTGATAGTACATTGAATTTCCCTTTCCATTGTCTACACTGCCTTAAATAATTAGGTAATGTTTGTCTCCATAACTGTGGCTATATTAACTGAGAGAAAAATTGAGAAACAATTATTTGCGTTATTCATGCTGTAATGTGGTGTGGATTTAAAGTTTAGAATATAGCAAGAAAAGTATAAATGCAATAGCTGATAGTCTAGTCAACATTGTCAGTTGTATTACATGTATGGGCAATAATTGTATTTCTAATTTGTTTTTCTTCCCTTAGATGAACATTCTGCCTGGCCTTGCTAAAAACCAACCTCCGACTCCTTACACCCAAGGGCAGCCGTATATACCACCGTCTCAGAACCCTGTGCCTTTCAATCAACCAGGTATGGTGATAATGCAGACTGATAGGTGTGTGACTAACTTTTTATTAAATAACCTTTTAGACTTGGACCTATCTACATTTTCCCAAGGTTTAATAAATTAGCACATCAGAATTAATGGATTAACATTCGTGGCTTCATCTGTATTTGATTTAAAATATTTTTTTCTAATTGTATTACATTTGTTTTTCTAATTTTAATTCGAAAAATATTTTATCAGGTTCTCAGTTCACACCTCCTGAAAGCCATTTTGGGCAAGTTGATGTCAATGATCTGTTATCAAAGCTTATTTCTACTGGAATCATCAAACCTACACAGACTGAAACACCTCCAAGTGGTAAGACCTTTTGGTTCATTTTGAATTGTATCAATACATTACTGCGTTAAAAGGAAACTGCAATATTTTTATGCTGAAAAGAGAAGAAAGAAAACAACGTTTCAGCTGGGAAGCCTTCTTTGGGTGTGAGGAACACATACCTGAAGAAGGCTCCAAAGCCAAAACGTTGTTTTCTTTCTTCTCTTTTCAGCATGGAATAAACCTATTACTTGTTCCTTTGCAGCCTACGCATGCTGACGCAGCTACCCACCTAACTACTTCATGCTGTTTTTATGTTTTGGGGTTTGAAAGAATTGGCACTGATGAGTTTCAGACCACATTAAAAGTATAATGTAAATTGGAGGTTTTAAACATTACTGTGTAAATCACAAAATAGACAATTTTCAGATATGCACAACGCCATATTGTGATTGCAGTCATTGCGATTAGGAATGAGGCAACAAAACTTCCAGTGACTTGAGGTGGCCTTATCATATTGTAAAGAAGCAGGATTGTGAATATATCCTTTTTTTTATCCAATAGACATATTGCACAATAGACTTTGAGACGGTTTTGACGACAAATACTATTTTTGAATTCTGCACGCAGATCACATTGGATCATTTCTGCGGTGAAATATCTGGTGCACAACCTGTACTTATTCATTCATGCATCACATTACGTTAGTTATTACAGTGACTAGTGAACAAGAAGGGCTACCTTGCGTCAGGATTCTTGTGAACTCACGCTCTCATCTTTGACAAAATGGTGACCATACAGTACTTCCACAGAGTTCATGATTTTGTGCTTAATTTGAAAATTAAAATTTTGCGATGCAGTCAATTTATTTTGTTACCGAAATGTAATAACTGGTCAGACACCAGGACTGCCATTACCCTTTAAATTGTCATTAAATGAAGATAGTGCTGTATGTGGTTTCCTATGATTTTGTTGTAATGTTTAAGAGAATTTCAGGTGCACGCCTGTAACATTATTCTAGATCTTCGGAATATTCAGTGACTGATAATGTAATGTTGTGTGTTTTTTAGAAACAGCTGTACCTCCCCAGTCTCAATCAGCGGTTGAAGAGGAAGAGGAGGAGGAGCAAGATGATGACCAGAATCTCCCTGATCTCACTGGTTTTATGATTGAGGATATGAAACAGTGAGTACTCTTCGTTTGCGTGTTTGAAAACTAAAGAAATGTTTCCATTATGTTCTTTGTATATTGTGGTTGAAATGTAATTATTCATACTTTGATACATGATCTTTCATTAATCATCTCTTCTTTAGTTTGTATGTGTTTTTTCAGTTGTTTCAGTTGTCTTGTATGTGACTTTGGGCTTTTTAAGTTTGAGATCTTTTTAGGGATTTCTGAAATTATTGCAAGAAAATGGAACTGCATAAAGGATTTTTTTCTTTGACAAAACATGCAAACCCTTAAGAATTTTTCATTCTAAGTTGGTCAGCAAAATGCACTATTTAAAGGTCCAGTTGCAAAAGAAAATGTCAGACTAATTCACACATTTTATGTGCTAGATAAAATAAATATCGTAAAATTAACAAGCTTGCAAAGTATTCTTGAGGGGTATTATAGAAAGACTTCTGTAATGCATCTTAGTTGTCTTGTAAGACAGCTAGTAATGTAATAAATTGCAAGATGACTGCCACTGGCTTTTTTCAATCAATATTTTTTCTGCTTTACTTAACAGGCGATATGACAGTGTTATAAATAGACTTTACACTGGAATTCAGTGTTATTCCTGTGGGATGCGTTTTACGGCTTCACAAACCGATGTGTACGCGGACCATCTGGATTGGCATTACCGGCAAAACCGATCAGAGAAGGACATCAGCAAGAAAGTCACACATCGGAGGTGGTACTATAGTCTGACGGTAAGCCTGGTATTCTGGCTAGTGCCCCTCATAACCTAATAGGGTAGCTCCTTGGCACTTTGTACAGGGAATTTGATAGAGGGTATAGGATAACGTTTTTTATTTTGATAATCACTGTTAAAAAGTGCCACTAGTGTGTGGTGAAAAATGGAAAATGTATGGTCTATGAGCACAAGAAGTCCGGTTTTGAATTACAAAATATTTCTGTAATACCATTGTTCTCTGTGGTTTAATTTACTTGTATAGTGTGATAAGTTGCAGAGCATTCTCAGTGTTGTCAATTTTTTTATTTGTAGGACTGGATAGAATTTGAAGAAATAGCTGATCTTGAAGAGCGAGCAAAAAGCCAGTTTTTTGAGAAAGTTCATGAAGAAGTGGTGCAAAAGACTCAAGAAGCTGCTAAAGAAAAGGAATTCCAAAGTGTAAAGGCAGCTCCAGATGTAGTTCATGAGGTAAGTCGAAATAGTCAGTTCTTTAAATGTTCTGGGCGTGCGTTCTATGGAAGTGAAACATATATAGCTTATATTAATTTATTCCTTAGCCTTTTTTAAAATAAATTCTGCTCTGTGTTTTAAATTTTCTCCATTATGAAACATTTCTAAAAATATTGAGATCTCTGGGAAAACAAATTGGAATGATTGTAAGAGGAGGAGAAAGGGTTGTTCAAGAGAAGGAACCTTTGGTGGGGAGACAGCAAGTTAAAAAAAGTAACCATTTGAACTGATCTTTTTCTCTTACTCCTCGAAGTCCTGTGAAATTTGCCAGGAGCAGTTTGAGATGTATTGGGAAGAAGAGGAAGAGGAATGGCACCTTAAAAATGCTATTCGTGTTGAAGGAAAGGTATGTAACGAATGAGACCTGAAATGTCAAATAGGCAACTCGATTACTTTTTTCAGTTGGTCCTTAATTGAGAAGAGCTAAAATGTTGCAGGCATTTTCCCAACGGTTTTCATGTAATTGATACAATTGTCAAAGGTTGAGTAATGTGTGTTATGAACAAAGTTAGGTCTGGGTGTGTATAGTTGCTATTCTAGTGTTCTCTTATCACATAAACTGAAAGAGCAACAGTAAAATGCATTATACTTGTACCTTGTTCTCATTTTAGTAGCTGTTAAGAGTTTCGATACTAAGTGCTTTTTAATTCATTTACAGACTTACCATCCTTCATGTTATGAAGATTACAAAAATGTAAGTAAGGTTTTTGTGTAAATCTCTGAAATGGTGAAGTGAATTTGTTTTTCTGTTTTTTGCTAGTACTTGAGTGTGGCTAGAATGTTTATTTGTCCAATTATATATTTTTTTTTATAAAGACATCTTCATTTGCGGACTGCACTCCATCACCAAGTAATGCCCCGGTGGAAAATCCTTTAAATAAATTAATCAAGCAAGAAATTGAAGACCCATCTACTTGCACCAGTGTTAAAGAAGAGCCAGATATACAGAGCAGCTGCACAGAAGAAAATGTTAAAGAAGAAGTTCATATAAAACCGGAGGCTGAAACTCAAGATGCCAGTGCAATTATTTTTTAAATAATGCTGCTTTTTGTGTTTTTTATTAGTAAGACTGCATAGTACTGTATTTTTGTTTTGTAAAGAAAAGATATTTTTATATTCATATCTGAGGCAGGGTCCTCAGCTGTGTATACTTTAAATACATTTTTGTATTTTGAATTACCTGCCAAATTCAGGTGTTACTGCTGTGTGAATGCTCTGTGAACATGTACCTTGGAAAAAAATGTATAAGATTTAATTTATAAATAAATCTATTTTTGCTATTCTTGGTGTAATGATAATAAACCTACTACTAGCATTTTTGATTTTGGTTTAAGCATTTTTAAGAGGTCTCCGAAAACATTTGTAAATAATTCTTAAGTATCCTAACGTTTGTTCTTTAAGCTCGTGTTCTGCAGAGGTTACTGTTTGCGACATAATGAAAATGGGGAAATTATGAAGGTTTTTTTTTCTCTAGTTAATCTATTAAATGGAATGATAATTTTTTTTTGTAGCTGGGTGTACAAAAGGTAAGGTAGCTTCCATATTAGTTTTTTTGCTTTACTTTAAAGTGTATATTTTTATTCAGTGGGGACTTAATATTGACTAGAATACTTTGTGAATACGTCTTTGTGGTACAGGTTTCTAATTGCATAAAGTATTAAGTTGAAAATTCTAAACGTTATTTATTTTCAGGTCTTTTGCAGAGTTAATGAAAAGGGGAACTCTGCTTGACAATATTGGGTATTCAATAAAATAAATATGAAAATTTGCTTTGAGTCTGTGTTTTAAGTGTTTTCGTTTTCCTTTAAAGTTTCTGACTTTGTCACACAAAAAAACAATAAAATCCTTCAATAAAGTATATCTGTCTACTGTGTGTTTATTTAATCAATGCAATATATTAAGTTCTTTGTAACTTTCCAGTTCAGTGTAATGAGCTAATTCTGTATAGTCACAGCTGAAAGAAAGGTACGGATTTTATCCTGCCGTAGTTTTGACTGGATTATTTAATATGGATTCTGAATTGTCAACTTGTCCACATAAAACTAAATTAAAATTTACACATGGACAAATATCTTTATTCTGGAACAATGATTATTTCTGGAATTCATGTAAAGCTTTGATAATGAGCACTTCAGCTGAGTTTAGAAAGTGGTCTGTTGGCTGTAAAAATCAGTGGGCTATGTAAAGGAATTGTTTACAAAAGGTGTGCTATTAAATGTGACTGCTACAATAATTTGTTCCAATATTTATAAAGAGTTTAAAAGAAGGGGAAAATAGTATTGGGCGATGGCACTGGTTTCATATTCATTTACATTCACGTTTGTGAAAGTGGTAAACATGCCTTGCATTTATGTAGCTTCTTTCATGCCAAAAGGTCACAAAGTGCTTTATTATATAGGAAGCGAGATCCATTTTATCTGCATTTGGGCGATATGTGGCTTCTGTGATCTGTCAACAATTTCAATCCATAATGAACTGGGAAAAGATGCTTCAAAAAATGAATTCAGCATAAAATACAAATACCAGACCGTAAGCCCAGGGTGGTTTTACTGTACAACAGTGGAGTTAACACCCCTACTCTTAAGGTCAATGGGATTTTTAGTCGGTACCTCAGTTAAATGTCTAGTTTGAAGGATGTTCAAGTAGGTAGCTGCGTCAGCATATGTAGGCTGCAAAGGAACAAGTAAAGGTTTATTCCATGCTGAAAAGAGAAGAAAGGAAACAACGTTTTGGCATTACATTTAGCATATACAGAATTTATGGATCAGGATTTCAAAGCTGACATCTTGGGTTGACACCCGAAGAAGGCTCCACAACCAAAACATAGTTTCCTTTCTTCTCTTTTGAGCATGGAATAAACCTTTTTTAGTTAGTTTGAAGGATGGCACCTCTTTAGGCACGTATGTCCCCGACTATCATACTGTGGTAATTGTCAGCTTTGAACTCCTGATCCATATCCATAAATTCTGTTAATGCTAAATGTAAAATGTTAAATAATTTTAAAGCACCCTTGGGCTAGCTCTGAGAACCAATATCCTTCATGCTTAATGCGATGGATAGATCTTTCAAACAACAACAACAACAACAACCTGGTAGGCAAGGTTATACCTGTGGAGGCTGCTGCAGTCTGTTTTTGTTTGTGCGCATGGGGTGATTCGATCCCAAGGTCGCTTGGAGATACAACACCAGGAAAAGCAAAAGGCACAGCCGTGAAAAGGTTAAGAAATACAAATGTCTTAAACACTAATCTCACTAGGGTGAGATTTCAACAGTACTCCCATTAAAGTATAATAAGGTTACAGGATCCAGAGGTGAATCAGAAATGTACTGGACTCATCACTCTGTTTCTCTCCCCAATAGCAGCTGATATGGCGAGTGTACTGTAAAATCATCCAGGTGGAGCTACAGATTGGTGGTGGAGGAGAGTCCCCATTACCTGTGAAGCCCTTTGAATGAAGTGTCCAAAAAAGACATATATAAATTTAAGGATTATTATTATTATTATTATTATTATTATTATTATTATTATTATTATTATTAAGCAGTCTTATCAGCGCTGAAGAAAAACATGGCGGAGCAGTATCTGCTATTCCAACGTCAGCAGAACAAGGGGCGGAACTATTGGGTGTTGTGTACTTTGGGTAATTAAGGTACAACGTCTCAGTGACAGTGACGAGACAAGTCCTCATCGATGGTAACTGTATACCCTACTAAAGCGGAATCTACATTGTGTACAACGGCTTAACGGAACATATTGTAAATGCCCGCTGAATTTGAGTTTCTTATTTCGAAACCAGTGTTAAACATCGAGCAGCACAATACGTGTTACTTAAACACCCTGTGCCATTTTCATTATATTTAGCCGTTACTGTTTTGTGGCGGGTTGAGATAAGCGCATCCCCTAGAGAAAATAAATAAACCAAAGGAAAAATGAATCTTGTAACACGGAAGCCATTTTTCCATGCCGGCCCAACACGTGGACTAGACAACAGGAAGTTTACGTAACTACAAACATGCTCTTAGCAACAGCCCTGGCTGGCAAAAAACACAGTAAAAGTTTCTTTTTTAATCAATCGCTTCTTTGAAATACGTACCGTGCCGATGCCGCTAGAGGGTAAGAATGTATTTGTTTAGGTGTATATAAAAGATGCTATTTTTTTAAATTTCGCACACGTACTCTCTGTGTGATGTTTTCTGAACAAGATCTTAACTGAATAAAACAAACGAACTAGTCTCTTTATTATCGAAACGGTAAAGGTTACCTAGGTTAAGTCTGTCATTTTTATTATGTGTACGCTATTTTTTTTGTGAACGTGGCCAAGGTATCTGTATTAGCGTTGTGTCAGTGATACATTTAATTTCTTCCTTAGGTGAAAAGTAAAACGATGTCAGTAAAAGATAACTCTGGATCCTGCCCCCCATTTCACCCTGTCGTCCTTGTACCTTTAAGTTTAAAGCATTCAGAAATTTGAAAACGAATATTTAGAATATGTGGAACCCCAAACGCATGTGATGTGTTTTGAGCTTTCAGAATATATTCCAAACATCTTGGAATTTATCCTTCATAGTTGATTTATGGTTCACTTTTCCGCACGAAACCAGTCAGTACAAGAAGCTCCAGATTTAAGCCATTTTCTGTTTGACCCACCTGGGTGCTTTGTGCAAGGGATTCCTTCCCCCTTACAGATTTCATTGCTTTCTTGTTTCTCACTGAAATTCACAGTGTGGAAGAAGAGGGCCCTGGCCACAGTGCACGAGGCGGTGAAGGCAGGAGATGTGAACCAGCTGGCAATGATGGTGAAGAACGGAGCCAGCGTTAATGAAGTGGACCTGGAGCACAAATTCAGCCCTCTCCACTGGGCTTCACTTACAGGGAGTCTAGAGGTTGCAGATTTTCCTTTTCTTAGTGGCTTGAGCATAACTCTTTGTAGAAGGGGACAACCCCCCCCCAGCACTATGGTTAGAACACAGTAGATGCAACAAGGGTACTTTTCAATAATCTGTTGCATTGTTCTTAACTGAGACCGGCTCAGCCTTTTTTTTAGTCAACTGTGTGCGTGAAATACGGGACCTGTTTTGTAATGGGCGTGTCCACAAGGAATGATGGAACGTCCTTCAATGTTTAATCCTCAGTTTCTGGATAAAGGCGGCCAGCCAGGTGTGAAGTTAAAAGAGATAATCCGGTATAGATGACTAAGCGTGGATTTTTAAAATCTCGATTTCATGTTCTTCCCAGCGACGCCAGTGAATAAGAATTGGAAAACGTGCCATGTTTCTGTTGTTCAACATCCGTTTTGCTCCCATTCCAAGTGCCTGCACTGGCTGCTGTGGCATGGTGCTGATACATCAGATACCACTCCTCAGGGCTGGACACCTGCCCATTTAGCTGCAATGAGGGGCCGAGACGCTTGCATGCAGGTAACGCAGTTGTTGTTGTTTTTCAAAGCTCTGGTAGTGTTTTGAGAAGAGAATGAAACTCCACTGAAGAATATGTGTCACCTCCGATCATTTAGGCCCTGATTACGAATGGTGCCATTGTGTCGTCCCGAGATGACAGAGGCTGCAGTGCAGTGCACCTGGCTGCTGCTCATGGACATTCGCAGACCCTGCAGAATATCCTGCGCAGCGGAGCGGTCTGTCTCCTTTGTTCCTTTGTCCATACGTACTCATTCTAGTGTCTCTATTTGCAGCGTCAGCGCGTTCCCACTGCGCATTTTGTATACAAGAAAAAAGAGCTTAATTTTACAAATGGACACAAAACCTGAAAAACTGATTAAAGAAAGCAGAGCGATTGCCTAAAGATTAAATGCATTAAAAGTTCATTGTGTCATTGAATGTCTAAGAACAGCTTTCTTTTTGCCATTACAATGAAAATAGTATACAGTGCAAGTTGTAAAGGAAAAAGTAGAGGTTAATTATATCCTGAACACTAAAAACTAGAAATGTATCGATGTTTCAGCTGCAGAGCCTTCTTCAAGTGTATTTTCTGATTCTGCAGGATTGCAACAGTGCTGATATGAATGACTGGAGGCCAGCACACTATGCTGCTTTCCATGGAAGACTAGGCTGTTTGCAGTTTCTTCTTAAATGGGGAGCCAGTGTGGATGATGTTGATAACAATGGAAACACACCAGGTATAATGAGAAAGGAGATCATAATCTCCGTTGATAAGAACATAAGAGTGTTCACGAAAGGAGGAGGCCATCATTTTATTTCTTTTCTTTTTGTTTTCGATAGTAGAAGGATAGATTTTTCTATAAAATCAAAATATGACTCCTGACTAACATTTTGTCCAGTTTACTTTTGGAACCATCTTATCTACTTCCCATTCTGCCTTTTTGCACATGTAAGTGAAAGTTGGCAGCTGTTTGCCCCTGATCAGAGCTTATCAGTGTGACATAGCTAACTTGGACAAGTGACATCGAACTAAATCAAACTAAACTGGAAGTTTACTGGAGTTTTCATGTCTAAATTTCTCAGGACTGGATAGTTCAATTAGTTGTTTCTTGCATATATTTATATTTAAACAATTACAGATATTTTTATTGGATCTAACTTAACCTTCTTCCAATTATCTAAATCTAAAAACCTTAAAATGAAATTCAGGGTCATAAAATAGTCAAATTCTTTAGACCATTAATACTGCATCCGAGCACCTTGTAAAAATGTAATGAAGTCACCTAGGATAACCATATGTTGTACCTCATTTACAGTTCAATTATAAAACCTGCTGGTGAGGAGTTATCTCTTGATAGCCAAAGTCAGTTTTACTGCAATGAAAATAGAAATGCTAGGGAAGACCTACTTGTGTGAAAAGAAGTGTTTAAGACAGACCACTGTGGTTGCAGAACTCGTGATTTTTTCAAACCTTCTTTTAGCTCACTTAGCGGCGTCGGAAGGACATCTGCATTGTCTGAAATTCCTGGTTTCCCAGGGTGTAAGTTTAACTCATACGCTGGGAGCCAGAAATGACCAAGGAGAAACACCCAAAGATCTAGCTAAGAGGTTCTACAAGCAGGCAGTGCAACAGTACATCGATGCTGTGGAAAATGAAAGGGACTTCCCAGGAGAGCAGGAAGGTATGTGTTACTTTTAAGTGAACACTTAATAATCATAATAATCATAATAATTGCTTACACTTATATAACGGTTTTCTGGACACTCCATTCAAAGTGCTTTAAAGGTAATGGGAACTCCCCTCCACCACCACCAGTTTGCAGCCCCACCTGGATATTGTAGGTTCATGTGCAGTTTGTTTTGTTCCTTTAGGGCGGCTTCTTTAAATAATTCAGGTTTACTTTAAAAATTGAATTCAGAGTAGTTTTTATTTCTCCTTAGACTTGGCATTCCCGGCACATGTTGCGGCACTCCGAGGGGACCTGGACACCCTGCGGACGCTGGTGGAATCCGGAATTATAAACCTCAATGAGCGAGACAACAAGGGGTGCACTCCCCTACACAAAGGTCTGCAAGAAGAGTTAATGAGAGCTCAGAGGCACGGTTTAGCTTGTTAGCTGTCCTTGTGGTTCATGTTTCAACCAGTAAAAAACTTGAAACATGGAATTTGAAGTATTTGTGGGTTTCTGGAAACAATTAAAAAGTCTTGTGAGCTTACTTATGGAAAAGAAACTATTGTTTTGTGCAGATTCCATCTAAAATAGAAGTCAAAACACTCTGGAGTGTTAAGCAGCTGTTTCAATCACTGCTCTATAATTACTTTACTGTTTTGTGCTAATCGCTACGATTAACCTGAACTGAAATCTTAAACCCATTGTTTCAGACAAATATTAATTTATTATTGTGCTCGGATATACAAAGGAAGTTCTTGCTTTACCAAACAATAATGAAACTGAGGATAGTTCTTTATGAACAGCAGTAGTTTACTTTGATAGCATGCGTTTGTTTTATATGTGCATCACTGTTATTGTAAGTTTGGTCACTACAGCAGTAGTGGATTCTGAAGCTACTGTGCAAGTGAAATGCAGCTTGAAGCATTCTTTGGGTTGAACAAGAAATCTGTTTTACAAAGGACACACCAAGGCACCTGCTAATACTGGTATATGTGTGGGTTGCTTTAAGACATACAGTACGTAAGGCTGTGTAAACATGAAGTAAATGGATTTGTGAAGGTGCTTATTTGTTTGTGTATCCATGTTATTTAAAGAATCCTTGTCATTGAGGTCAACTGCTGTAAATATTACAAGTACTTTTCCTCTATGCACAGGAAGCAAGGTTCATTCTGTGTGAAAATGTGCAGTAACAAATCTCACTTCTTAATTTGCAGCGGCTGGTCAGGGCCATCTGAACTGCTTGCAGTGGCTTCTAGAGATGGGTGCTGATTACAATATCACAAACGATGCAAGTGAAACGCCAAAAGACATTGCAAAGAGGTATGTTTTATTCCTTCTCTATGTAATATACAATAGAGAAAGCACTGTTTTTTTTGTTACAACACTTTTCTGTTAATTCCTGAATCTTTGGAAGTCATTTCTAGCTTGGGTTGCAAACAGCTCTTTTAAAGTAACTACAGTATTTACTTTAAAATGTTTTTGTTACTTATTGAAACATTGCATGCTTCCGTTTGTTGTATATACTGTAGAATCCTTAAATAAAAACTGATGCACCAGTAATCTGTTTTAAATAACCTTCTTTTGAAAAGACATTGTAAAATAAGCATATAATACAGAAATACTATAAGAAAGTAGTGGTCTTTCCATCTTCATGGTCCAACAGGTTTGCTCAGCTGGCAGCAGTGAAGCTCCTGGGAGGGGAGACTCTAAGTGAAGACTCGGATGAAGAGCTGAACAGCACGGATCCCTCGTTTTTTGACAGACATGGTGTTGAAGGAAGCACAGACACCTTCGAAGACGTAAACTTAAGCACCACTCAGAAGAAGGAAGGCAGAAGTAAGTCTAGAGTTCATATATAAATTAAACATTTTACTCTAGGGACGTTGGGTATTATTCTTTTAGTTAAAGCTGTACGAAACTCCAGAAAGCTCACAGTTGTCTTCTGAAATGGTTTCATTGCTTCATCCTTTCATAATTTGCTTCACTTTGGTGTGTGTGTTCCAGTGCGAGCATACAGAAAGATTGAGGAATTTGAACGTCTGCTGGAAATAGCAAAAAGTAACTACAGGCAGCTGGGGGGAATACTTGAGGAAGACAGAAGCAAAAGGAAAGAAGAAAAACAAGCAGAAAGGTAACAGAGGCTTCAAGTGACTCACTGTACATTTCAGGATCATTTCTCATTGCATTTTGCATCACCCCACAAAAGAATGCAGATCGCTGAGAATGAGTTGTAGACTTAAAGTTACTAACATTAATGGAACAGATGTAATGTATAAGCAGAGTTGCAGAAAGTTTCCATTATAGTTACACGTTAATTTGGATAAGAAATTCGTTTTTAAAGCTAACAATTCGTATGTATAGATACCCCATAAAGTAATACATGACATAATAAAAGTAATTGTTCTCATTCCTGTAGTAATTTCAAAACGTAATTCCACAAAGCAGTATCTTGAAACTATAATGGATTAATTTATAAAAAATTGCTTTTCTTAATGTACTTGTAAGTTTATATATAGTTGCATGACACAACGATTACTCATCCTTTGTGTTTTTTCTGTCCTTACACATACATTTTCTTTTTGGTTGCTGACTCCAAATATAAGTCTGTTCTTTTGCTCCATTTTCCCACACTATCACAGAAATATAGCCTGCTACAGCTTACTGGTTACTTGTGAATACTACCCAGTTATTCTTATTCTTCTTAAAAATGCAATTCTTTTAGTATCACTAAAAATATTCCATATCCATTATTTTTCTGAAATAGGTTTCCCTTGAAAAAAATCTCAGTTTGGAACATTTTGGAATTGAACTAGTCTCAATTCTTCCTTGGCAAACCAACCTCCCAAGAAATTTGCTTCCAGAAAGAAATACTTAGCTTAAGGGTTTTGTTATTATTTAATAATTCAAATATGAGCTAACCATTTGCAGAAATACTGTTATTGTCCATAAAAAAGGATTTGTCTGCCTTTTCCAGAACTATTGAGGAGCTGAAGGCCCAGCTGGAATACGAGCGAGTCCGCAGGGAGAAGCTGGAATGCCAGCTGGATGACTACAGGGCAGAGATAGGGCACCTCAACAAGTGCCTGCATGACGTCCAAGCAACAGCAGTGAGATTTCATTGTGTTATCAGCTCTTGTGGGTTCAAGAGTTTCTTCCATACTGTGGCACCCAGGAAACCTATTAAAGATCTTGCTGATGTGTAAAGTTCAAGGAGAACCCCAAAATGGGTCATCAAAAATCTGACACTTTATAGGACACATCAAGTCTGGGTGGTGACTGGACGCAATTACTTTCAGGCACTACTGTAACACTAGAATTAACTAAAATGAATTGTATTAATTGAAAAACAATGTTTGATGTTAAACAGTATTATAATCTTAATTATAGATCTTAAATAAATAGGCACAGGTTCGGATAATTCCGTTTAGATATACATTTTTTACTATAACATTCAATCTTACTTTGGCCTAATTTTAATGGTCTCAAGATATGTAAATGTGATTTTATAATTCATTTTGTAGACTAAATTATGACTTTTTAAAATCAATTGATGTCAATATAGTTACAGCGTTGAGTGGTTAGCCCCAGTATATTACAGCTAACAAGGAGACTGCATTTAATACTTTGCAAAATGTCTGAAGTATATACTGTAACACAACAGAACATAATTAATGTTAATTATAATTATTTGATGTACTACAATGTAAAATGTATTACTTTGTTTGAGCCCAATGATTTTGTCAATCGTGATTCATGTGCACTAGATCCAAATAATTACAATTAAGTAAATGTTTTGTGCTTTAATGAAATCCAAAAGATTAAGTCAATTGTGTATTCTCCTTTCCACAGGAAGAAAAGTCTCTGGAACCAATTAAAGAGAAAAAGAAATTAAAGAAACCCAGGAAGAATGAAGCAGGAGGGGTGTTAGTGAGAAGAATCCCAGAAAAGTAATTGTTTGACCTAATGCAACAATGAGCAAACACATTATTTATTGACAGCAGGCAAACTGTTTAAAATACAGAGCTTCCTTGGCACTATTTGGTTTACAAAGGAATGATATTGTAGTTTCCATTTAGAACACTGATGAATGTTTAATCTTGAAATAAGGTCTTAATAAAAAATAGTAAGCAACAGTTCTTCAGTGACAATTGTATGGCAGATGTCTTAGATTTGTTTTCACTGACAAATGTACCATATACTGTATATTGAAAGTGGGCATACTAGACAAGCAAATGTAGCCACTTTAGTAACTATGTTACCATACTGTAAGTGCACTTGACTTGTTTCTGAAATACAATATATCAGCAACAACAGCAAAAACAAACTTCAGAACAGTCCTGTTATGTAAAAAGTAAAAAGGCATCTAAGAAGACAGTTACTTCCTGCAGGTACATACTCATTACACTGCTCCAGAACCGTATCTCAGTGCTGTATTAGCACAATGTTTTGTGGCTGAACCACTGTAAATACAGCACTTTCACATCTGTTGGATCTTCTGAATTGTAGACTGCTGAAGTGCCGTTATACTTTATTAAAATGTACGTATTTTGTTTTCTCACTTCCAAAGACGGTAAAAGCCTAAAGCTATTGCCAGGCAGGAGAAGACAGAAGCTACAAAATAGGGAAGAAAAAAAAAGCAGAAAGAATTTATGTTAAGCTTAATGCAATTTGTCAACTTGCATCTTAATCAACATCATTTATGTACTATACACAAAACGTTAAGTACAATCAAGTAAAGGCAGACAAGAGTAACATTGTTCTCCTTGATAAAATGTCTGTGGAAGGAATAGTATTACAGTACATGACTATATGTGCTAGGGAAAGAATATGCACAGGGCACCATTAAATGGTAAGATAAAAGTAAAGCTTATGATACAAGTATTTATTTGCATTTATATAGAATTTGATTTTCAAATAGACAGGTTTACCTCCCTGTTAATATGAGCAGTGCCATGGGATCATTCTTTAAGAAAACGGCCAGGACCTTGATCTAATGTCTAATACAAAGAATGGAACCTCCTAAAGCACAGTGATCCCTGGACCGCTGGGATATTGTGGATTCGAGATGCTGATCCATGAGAAAAGTGCCCGATTTTCCTTAGAGGTCTCCCATCCCAGTACTATCCAGACCCATCCTTGCTTAGCTTCTGAGATCCAATACGATTAGGCTACACATAAGGAATAAAACAGTTCTAAACAAAATGTAATTAATTTTCTACATCACCTACCTGCAAGGTAGCGTATAGTATCCAACTTTAGAGATTCTAGCAGAGTTTTCAACGAAGCCACTTCTATGTCAATTTTTTTTGTTGCTTCCATTGTGCTACGGTCTACATCAGCATTCTATGTTCATAAGAAAAATAAAACCAAAATGTATCTTTGTGATTCCCAGTCCCTCTTCATCTCTAAGGAATATTCCCAATTTCCCTATGTTTCCAGTACAATCACTGAAACCTACAACCCATTACTTCTCCAAACTATTTTACTTTGCAAACAATTAATGTATTATGCTGTTGTAATGGACATGTTAAGAGTATGTGCTAGCTGTATATCTACATGTGTTAAATTTAAAAAGGTTTCTATTTTTTTTAAAATAAGTACAGTATTAGTTTCACATTTTGCACTTAAAACTGTCATTCTTGAATAAGCCTTTAAGCTAGTATACTGTGTGAGCCTATATAAGATGCAGATAACATATAAAGAATAGCTGAAAATGTCAAACCTTTTTGTGAAATTCTGTTGTGACTTCCATAAGTTTCTTCTCCTGTTCTGTAAACTGTAAACAGGGAAGTAGGGGAAAAGCTTGTTAAATCATCACTCCATGATGTACAAATGCAGAACAAAGCCCTGCCCTCTTTCTCAGCTGAGGACATGGTGCCATCACTACACAATTCACACACTTTTCCATGGATGTGCAGTAACACCTACTGTTACCACCATGCTGGACAACCTTGAAAAAGGCTCCCATTAGGCCAGACCATTATAAAACACTCACAGCATCTCATGAAAGGTGCAAACAAAAACTGCTCACCTCCTAAATCCTGGTGCCCAGTACTGCTTGAATACATCTAAGTACTTTTTAAATACAACACAGAGGAATAGGATAATTCAGCAGATATGTGGTTGTATTTTCATACTTTTGTACTCCTTTACATTATGCTTCTAGTACTACTCCAGACGATACAAGCCTATTTGTGTAAAGAAACAAGCATGTGCCATGCCTCTACTCCAACTAACAATGTTATCGATAACGATAACAATATTGATAGCATCTCGGGATTTTTTATCACACAGAAACATTAGAAATTTGAATGCACGGGTCATAGATATTACCATGTCAGTTACTCTGCTTCTTTCCAAATTAATATCCAGTTTGGCATCTGCTCTGATTTTCCGGCTTTCTTCCTTTAAAACAAAGTGCAATAGTTAATCGGTGTTTGCAACTTAAGCACCTTCATACAAACTTTATGTTTAAGTTACCATTGTTACCACTTACCATAAGTAGCTGTTTAACCTGCTCCAATTCAGTTTTCATTTTCTGTAAAACAAGTTTTGGTTCACACTGTTAACTGAATAGTGGCATTTTTTCATATTTTAACATCAGAACAATGAACACAGTAAGATTAAGCCTTATTCAATCTGAGATGGTGGTACTTGGCTGAATGAATTGAATTAGACTGAAATGTTTCATAAGTCCACTTCCCATGATCAGTATTATTGTAATGTTAGAAAAAGAAACAAAAAACATGACCTAAGAATAAAGACCAAGTGTTACTTAAATATCTGCATTAAACCTCAAGAGTATTCAAACATCATGTGAAAATGACTGTTCTAATTATGGACTTGCTGCGCACAGCCTTACTGTCATACTGTACCTCATTCTCAGCCCTAAGGTTTCTAAATTCACTTTTTTCCAAAATAACCATGTCTTTCCTGATTGAATCCAGGTGAGCCATTATTTGCTGTAGAGCAATCTCCTAAAAAAAAAAAGGAAAGCATTTGTTTCATTGCTCTCCTACTGCTTAGACATTTTAGATCTACATAGGCAATTATAGTTTATGGACATCTATAGTTTCATATATAGGAGGTAGGTTTTCTTTTTTAAATTTTTCACTTCATTGCACAGTACAAAGATTCTCTTTTACGGTATGAAAGAGAAGTATTCTTCTCAAAACAGAACATTATGTGAAGTTGTAAATGTCCATGTGAAGGTACCACTCATTTTAACTGATGATAAAATAATCCATTTTAAAATCAGGAAAATTTTAGGATGTGGTATAAATGCAGGGATCTCAATTCTTCGAGGATTAAGACTGTTATATTTTTTGTTTCAAGGAAATACACGATACAGTTGATTACTCAAAACACTTGTCTAAACATGAATAAAATGTACAGTTATCTATAGCACTCTTCAGAGCCTGTTTAGAAGTACTAAAATTATGTAGTTAAGTCATTAAACCAATCATGTAACCGAGAGTGTGGCTGGAAGAAATAACAAGAGACACAGAATTCCAGAAACTGAGTTTGAGACCCCTGATTCTGAAATTTAATCTGGACCTGCCACCAAATTTTTAATAAAAAAATCAGTAACCAACATGTACTGTATGTAAGAGCAGCACGTAAAGAGGGAAGACAATACAGAAGTCAGATATTCAGTTATTTACCTGATGTGCCCCAGTCACCATGTCTCTGTACACTATGTCCATATTGGCAGTTGTTAGTGTTACAAGCGCCGTGACAATAATCTCTGCTTGTTCTTTTCCAAAGCCTGTATGAAAGGCAAAACATGGAATAATATACATTTGGTAAAAAAAAATCATTATTTAAAGAATCAAGTAGTTCCCAACAAACAAACTCACGTACATTTAATTTATTATTGTACTTAAAGCAACTTACCGCTGGCTTGCAGATCTCTCACCAGAGCATGTGTGTCAAACGTCAATTTCCTCTGCTCAAGAGGTGTTAGCTCCACTCTTCTCATGTCATACGTTTTTTGAGCTGCTCCTGCATGAAACCCTGAGACAAAGGTAAACGACGAAGAAAATGAGGATTTCATTTGTCTTTATTGAAAGTCCGGCAAGTCCAGAAAATGCTCGTATGCATGCGTGTGCTGAACTGAAAAGCTAACAAACGACCAATCTCAATTTGTATGTTGACATTATGATGTAAGGATACGGAACAGTAGCTGTATTAAACCAAGACTTGTGAAATCTCCTCCAGCCATAACCATGTTTTCTTTGGCAGTAAAAATGAACTCGATTGAATGATTTTACTTTCTGAAGACGATCTTGTATTCAAGAGTTTTCAGGGTCATAAAAAGTTGGTCAGCTGTTGGTTGCGAAGGCAGCAGCAGTTTTATCTGCGACTGGGCAATCATTTCTGGTGCAGGATGACAAATATACTTAAAAACAAGGATTCATTACCTACGATGAATCGGAATGGACAAGTGCTGCACCCGGAGCTCTGAAACTGCACCGTGTTTAATATAACCTACCTTTCGCCGTAGTGGGTAAACGTTGCAGACACAGGGCTCGACTTGGCTTCCTCAGCACAGATAGAAAAGTTTTGCAATGTCTGCAATTCATGATGCTTGATATATGCCGTGGATCCTCTTCTCGCTTAAAAAAACAAAAACTTTAATCATAAATTAATTAAAAGTAGTATATGTATATATTCATTTCCTAAGTAAGAAGGCAATTTCTGCTTCGGTTTTTATGCCGTGAAAATTGCAGGTCATAGCCTGCAGGTTTCTGAGTACTTGTATTATCCGGGCATTTTTGGAATATTTTTCGCGTCACTGTACGACAACAATTACGTACCGCCCAGCGAGCTGGGGACGCTGTGGAAAGATCTGTTCCAGTGATCTAGTGTGCAAAAACATTTCGTGGGCTTCGTATTACAGGAGATGCGGATTTCATTGTAGGAAATGCGTACAGTATATCTGCATTATAGTAAAAAAAAAACATTCCAGAAAAGATGGCACCTGAACGCTGTGACTCTCCCCCCGCACAGAATAAACCTTTACTTGTTCCTATTAAGAATTAAAAATCGGTTTAAAAATTGTTTGTAAGTTGTTTTACACCTTTCTATTGGCGCGGTTCTGGTACGCTTTCTGGCAACTAGCGTCTGGTAACACCGGAAACCTGACAAGGTCATAAACTACCAAACTTCACAAAAATAACGCCTCCTTTAATTAGGTCAAAGTTTCTGTTTACCCGCTCCAATATGACAAAATAAAACCGTTTCTATGGGTTTCGGAGCTTTCTAGTAATGACAGCATAGAAGACCCTCATTTAAAAAATAAAAACAACCATACCCAATGGGATGTTAAAATTTTAAAACAGTGCCCTTGAGGCGCCACAGTGATAGGCACCTATCCCCTTTATGACTTCTGGCCATCTGATAAGGTTATTTAATACAGTCCATTAAGAATGTAGTTCTTTCGCCAGAGAAGCAAGTTTAACTTTAAGCAAAACGTTGAGACGGGACTTCAACTCCCAGTAAACACAGCGATTTGTCTACTCTACACACCCAACAATGTTTGTATTACTTCTCTAGGATTTCTGTGGGATTGCGCGACTGCTATAACGATCGGATTCTTGCAAATAGATTATGCGAAGGAGAATTCGTGTTTAAGATTTGGAAGCTCTTAATTTCGAAAATTAACATAGTTTTTCACGTCTTCGCCTCTCTGACGCGCCTTTTCATATTTTTAATAGCATTATTTTTGTTTCTACATCACAAAAGTAGGTATAATTACAAAATATTATATTGGTATAATTATAGGTATAATTACAAAATATTGACGCCGATAAAACATGTTGTGATGTTAGCGAGCATAAGGTTTTGGATTATTCTGAGCACTTTGGAAAAAATTGTAGGGCTCAGATTTGTAAATTGTTTTCTTGTTTTTGTTAACCCAATGTCCTTGCTGTGTCAGAAATAACCCTTCTTCTGCTTTTATACACTTTTTACGCTTCTGTGGTTCTCTAATTTCTTTACTTGTTCCAATGTGCCAGGTTCCGTTGCTTGCTGATCATGTCTGACCTTGTGACTCTCAATGTGGGAGGAAGGCTGTACACTACCTCTCTGGCCACCTTAACTCGGTTTCCCGACTCCGTGCTGGGTGCGATGTTCAAGGGCAGGCTGCCAGTCAGAAAGGACCAGCAGGGCCATTTCTTCATTGACCGGGATGGCAAAACCTTCCGTCACATCCTCAACTTTCTCAGGTCCTCGCACCTCGACCTCCCAGATGACTACAAAGAGATGAAGCTCCTGAGACGCGAGGCGGGGTTCTACCAGATTCAGCCTCTGATGGAAGTGTTGCATGAGAGGGAGGCTGAGGACCTGGCATCAGAGAAGAACGCCATGCTGAACATCAGCCTGGATCAGAAAATGCAGGCAGTTCACCTCTCTGGACCAGATGCGCCCCAGGCCTACAGCCTCGGTTCTTTGACTATAGACGTCTTCTCAGCCAACATCTTTTGCACCTCGGGTGCGTTCCTGAGCAGCCTGGGTATTCAGATCTGCTACTTCTTCAACGGCAACCTTTCCCCTGTGTGTGGCGAAGGCGAAGGTCAGAATCGGCTGGCGCTGCAGTGGGTGGGTGCTGTAGAGGGCCTCCCGGAGGAAGAGTACACCCTGCAGAATTTGAAAAGGCTCTGGGTTTTTAACAAGCAAGTTAACAGTCTCCGGGCCTTTGTGGAAGAGGTTCTGAAAATAACCATGAATCAAGGCTTCTGCATGGACTCCTCTCACCCCAGCTCCCACGATTTCACGAACACCAAGACTGTCCGGTTGATTCGCTACAGGTGCTCATGAGGAC